CAGGTGGAACTGTACCATTGTTGCACAGAGGTCGGTGGTTGAGGACCGGGTGGAACTGTACCATTGTTGCACAGAGGTCGGTGGTTGAGGACCGGGTGGAACTGTACCATTGTTGCACAGAGGTTGGTGGTTGAGGACCGGGTGGAACTGTACCATTGTTGCACAGAGGTCGGTGGTTGAGGACCGGGTGGAACTGTACCATTGTTGCACAGAGGTCGGTGGTTGAGGACCGGGTGGAACTGTACCATTGTTGCACAGAGGTCCTGGGGTGGTTGAGGATCGGGTGGAACTGTACCATTGTTGCACAGAGTTCCTGGGGTGGTTGAGGATCGGGTGGAACTGTACCATTGTTGCACAGAGTTCCTGGGGTGGTTGAGGACCGGGTGGAACTGTACCGTTGTTTCACAGAGGTCCTGGGGTGGTTGAGGACCGGGTGGAACTGTACCATTGTTGCACAGAGGTCAGTGGTTGAGGACCAGGTGGAACTGTACCATTGTTGCACAGAGGTCTTGGGGTGGTAGAGGACTGGGTGGAACTGTACCATTGTTGCACAGAGGTTGGTGGTTGAGGACTGGGTGGAACTGTACCATTGTTGCACAGAGGTCACGGGGTGGTTGAGGACCGGGTGGAACTGTACCATTGTTGCACAGAGGTCATGGAGTGGTTGAGGACCGGGTGGAACTGTACCATTGTTGCACAGAGGTTGGTGGTTGAGGACTGGGTGGAACTGTACCATTGTTGCACAGAGGTCACGGGGTGGTTGAGGACCGGGTGGAACTGTACCATTGTTGCACAGAGGTCATGGGGTGGTTGAGGACCGGGTGGAACTGTACCATTGTTGCACAGAGGTCGGTGGTTGAGGACCGGGTGGAACTGTACCATTGTTGCACAGAGGTCGGTGGTTGAGGACCGGGTGGAATTGTACCATTGTCGCACAGAGGTTGGTGATTGAGGACCGGGTGGAACTGTACCATTCTCGCACAGAGGTCGGTGGTTGAGGACCGGGTGGAACTGTACCATTGTTGCACAGAGTCGGTGGTTGAGGACCGGGTGGAACTGTACCATTGTTGCACAGAGTCGGTGGTTGAGGACTGGGTGGAACTGTACCATTGTTGCACAGAGGTCGGTGGTTGAGGACCGGGTGGAACTGTACCATTGTTGCACAGAGGTCCTGGGGTGGTAGAGGACTGGGTGGAACTGTACCATTGTTGCACAGAGGTCGGTGGTTGAGGACTGGGTGGAACTGTACCATTGTTGCACAGAGGTCTTGGGGTGGTTGAGGACTGGGTGGAACTGTACCATTGTTGCACAGAGGTCTGGTGTGTTGGACGTGAGGGCTGCACTCCAAGACTCCCTGCCTTTGCAGAGAGCAGCGAGCCTTGTGGAGGCACCCCCACACTCCCACGTACACCTGTGATCCAGCTCCACTCAGCCATCCCCTCCCAGACCCCCAGGAGATGCGGGGACAAGTGTTGGAGCTAATGAGACCCCCTGGGGCCACACTGGTGCCTTAGAAGCCTCTGTCCACCACCCATGTTCAGGGTAATTTTCTCCAAAGGTGGCAGGAGTGGAGACCCTCAGGCTTGAAGCTGTGGAACTCCCGTCCCCTTCCCTGTCCAGAGGGCATAGGGTTTTCCATAGCGGTGTTTCAAACGGAGGCTTCTTCTGGCAGGGGAGAACCTGGAGCACCTTATTCTTCTCCAGACTGTGCAGATACACTGTGCATACGCCTATGTGAGTGAGATATACAGTGTGAAAAGGAGAAATCACTCTCTGGGGAGACAAGATCCTTAAACCTGTATCTTTATTTTCTTGTCATTTTGTCTCCCTCTGGTGGTATCAGCTTAGGGTCAGTGCAAGACTTGAGCAAAATCACAGCAATTTCTACCCAAACATGTGGGGCTAGCTGCTTTCATTTTCTAGTGAAGCTGTTGGATTTGGGTTCTGCGTTTCCTGCGGATGTCGAGAGCCGTGCCTGTGAATGTGATATACGCCCTGCACTGTGCCGCCCCCATTGGACTCTTCTCTGGGTCTGGGTTCTCCTCCCATGATGCACGTGAGTGGGAGGCAGGAGGCTCGGGCCACCGGGGGCTCGACTGTTTCCCACTGAACAGAAGAGCGAGGCAGGCGTGGAAGGCCCCCACGCAGAGGTGGGTGGTGGCTGGAGCTGCAGCAAGGCCCTTGAGTGCTTCACTGGCCTCGTCCTGGAAGCAGGCATCCTGGGTGCCAGCGGTGACCCCCTGCCTGGGATGGGGTACCCTTCACCCTCAGGAGCCTGTGCCCAGATGGGCCCCAGAGCTGGTGATGCTCACTTCAGGGGGAGACGAGGCCAGTCTTCCCTAAATCTACTCGAGGACATGGGTCGACATGGAAATGTGAACCTTGGAAGGGTCTGGTGCGCTGACCAGGGCCACCCTGGGGGCTGGCGAGGGAGAAGCCGGGGGCAGTGCCTGGGAAGGTAGGAGTCAGATTCCAAAGGGAAGGCTGGCCTCCCAGCCTCCCCAGGGCCTGGGGCCAACAGGGTGCCAGGCAGCCCCCACCACAGAGGACATAAGGACACTTGCCCAAGGCCCTGGTCACCTGCTGGGGCTGTGAGGCTGGGGTACCTGGGGCACCTGGAAGAACCAGCGCTTTCCTGCAGAACAAAGTGACGCCATCTTGTGGTCAGTGAGTGCCACTGCATTGGGCGGCGCTGGGAGGCTGGGGCTTCACTGGGGGGTGCCTGTTGAGCCATGCTCACTGGGGATGGCAAGCTGGTGTGAGGTAGTAGAAACGGGCCTGCCACAGGCGCCAGGAGCCTTCCCAGCCCCACAGCCGGATGCCATAAAAGGGAGCACAGGGGATGTCTGGCGAGCCTGTGGCAGCCAAGGCTGTCATACATGCTGTCCAAGCCCCCCAGCCAGGCAGACGTGCATCCTTCACTCTGAAGAAGCCTCAGGGTAGGGTGGGGGTGCTGCATTGGGATAGCTGGATCCTGTTCTCTCTGTGGGGCTGCCTCTGATTCCCCTGGTGACAGGCCCCAGTGAACCCTCTGAGGGACAGGTGGGCAGGGGTTCCTCCCCTGGTGCCACCCCTGAATCCCGCAGTCCCCCACATTGGTGCCTGCAACCCTGCCCAGCTGGAAGGTTTATCGGCTCCAGAGCAAGGGGTGACTGGAGGATATTTAAAAGCCGTGGGAGGACGCCATTGACAGGACTCAGGTGCACAGGGGAGGGATAGAGCGGTCCTGTGAGGAGACACAGCTGGGAACACAGGTGATCCTCTGACCCCAGGGGCACGCAGACCCGCTACTGCCCAGGAAAGCAGGGCCAAGTGGGCTGAGCACCGAGGCAAAGCTCCCCACCTGGTCTGTCTGAGCAGGCGAGGGAGGGGCAGCCAGGAGTTTGAGGCAGTGGAGGAGTCTGGAATAGCTCTTGCACGGAAGAAGAGGCTGAGCTTCCCAGAGAGACAGATGAGAGTTGTGAGGGTGTCTGGGGGCATTTGGGGTCAGGAATTTGCAATACATTTACCATAGCACTCATTTGCCCTCTTGGGCAGCTTTTTCCAGCCTCAGGTCCAGAGAAAACAGGTTGGAGATTTGGTGAACTCCTGGGGGCAGATACACAGGACTGGGGGCAGGGAGCTGCGGATACTGGGCAGATGTTGTTGAGGTGGTGGATGGCGGCACCCAAACTGGGCCAGTCGATGATTTTAACAACGGAATGGGTTAGAGGTGAGACCAGGGATCAGCTGGCTGAGGGAGGGAAGAGGTTAGGAGGCTGCTGGCAGCGAGGGCTGGGGAAGCGCAGGATGGCTGGGTCCATAATGCTGGAGGGACTCAGGGTGGGGCCAGCTGGAGCAGGAGGGGAGCCAGGAAGCCAGGGTCAAAATCCCTGACGAAAAGGGCTCTGGCCAGGAGGTGGGCAGTCAGGAGGGATAAGGCAGGTGACGTGGCCAAAATGGGTCTGAGAGGACAACCCAGCCATGGTCTAGGATAGCTCAGAGGTCGGCTGACTGCCGCCCCAGTGGCAAATCCTCCTGTCCCCCTGATTTTGCATATAAAATTCTCTTGGCACACAGCCACACCTCCTCTGTTATATATTGTCTCCGGCTGCCTTTGAACCTCAGGTACAATGGTGAATGGTTGCCACGGAGACCACAAAGCCTAAAACACATACCGTCTCGCCCTTTACAGGAGAGGTTTGTCCACCCCTAGCTGGAGCCCTGCTGTCTGGCATAGGAGCCACTCAAGATTGGTTTGTGGGCAACGTGGGCAGGACTTGGGGGTCGGCTGGATATGGCTCTAACATGTGGCTCTTTGTATTTCAATTAATTAAAATTACATACAAGAAAACGGTCCGGTCCCTCAGCTGCAGGAGCCACAGTGCCAATGCTCAAAGCCTCATGTGGGTAGTGGCTCCTGTGTTTGGGCACTGCAGAGATAGAACCTTCCATTGTGGCTGGCGGGAAGGTTTGTTGGGCCACGATGGTCTAGGGGCAGCAGATGGAACAAGCATGATGCTGCCAAGCCTGGGCCTGCGGTGTGATGGGCGTGAGGAGCTACACGGGCGTCCTGAGAGGCTACAGACAGGCAAGAGCCTCATGGGACAGATGCACAGGGACCGGCCAAGGAGAAGCCCAGGGCACAGTCAGGTCACCAGCATGAGTTCCGGGGCTGCGGGCAAAGCATGGAAAGTGCTGTCGTGTTTGGGATGTGACACCTTCTGGATTTGCAGCCTGTGATTGTCACCTTGAGTGACAGTCATCTGGAATCCTGGCATTGTCCTCCTGACACCGTTTGTGCAGAGTTTTCTGGCCCACGCGTTGATTTTGTGCGGTTACTTGCAGCACGGGCCAGTGAGGGAAGAGACCGGCCGCCCGTGGCTGGCTGCAGATCGCGATGGTTGGGCCCTTCTGTTTTGCATCCTGGCTGCCGTGTTCCTTGTGCTATGGCCAGGCATGCAAGCCCTTTGTTCAGGGGACTTCTCCTCTAGGAAGACTGACTCTGTGCCCTCCTTCAGTTCCAGGGCCCTGTGAACCAGAAGACCTCATCGATGGGATCATCTTTGCTGCCAATTACCTGGGGTCCACCCAGCTGCTGTCAGAACGGAACCCTTCCAAAAACATCAGAATGATGCAAGCGCAGGAGGCCGTCAGCCGGGTCAAGGTAGAGGTGCTTCCAGGGCCCCTCAGGGATGCCCACACACTTTGGGGGGCACTGGTGGGAGGGAATGTGGCGGGGCTTAGGCCCTCTTCCAGCTCTGACTGCACAGCCCTCGGCACAGGGAGCAGGAGTGGCCCAGGTGCCGACGAGGCTGAGGGAGGCTCGCGCCTTGGCCGGGAAGAAGCTGGCTGGGCAGAGGCAACCAGCTCCTTAACAGGAGGCCCATGGAATCCCAGAAATACGACCTTTGAAGATCATCGTTCCAAAGCATTCTAGTCCTAAAACAGTCCCAAATCCCAGTTCCACAGTACGTGTATTTTTAGTGCCATTCGGAGTGCTTCCAGAAAGGGGGGAAAATATATCACGTTTTATTTAAATTCAGAACCTCAAGAAAAACTTTGACCTGCTTGTAGCTCTGAGTGCTCTTTGGATTGTCTGGTTTTTAACATTGGGTGAGCCCGGGCAAGGGGAAGATGAGACCACATCAGCAAAACTAAATGGGGTCAGGGGGAGGGGCGCAGCCATCTGAGGTCTCAGCTCTCTGAGCAAGACAAGATCTGCAGATGCCCACCAGCCCAGGGGTGAGAAATGGGGACAGCCTCCTCCCCAGCCCTCACCATATACAACCTTCTCTAACAGAAGCAGAGGAGCACCATGAGGCCATCCGGGGTGGGCAGGAGGAAGCCAGGTAACCCAGGGCAGTGCTGAGCCCTGCTGGCCAGTGCCCCTCAGCAGAGGCCCGGCCCTCCCACCCCAGACACTTGCCTGCCTGGAGCTCAGCTTGCCTTCCTGCCGGCAGATGGCATCTTTCCTGTCCTCCGTAGATGGGGTGGTTGGCAGTCATTTTTAGCACTCCAGGGACACCTGTGTGGGCTTCTCTTGGTCAATGTGTGTGCTTGAAGTGGGCAGTGGCTGTCCACCCGTCCCTGCTGGGCTTTGCCAGGCACCAGGCCTGAGTAGGGGGGCGTCAACCACCAGAGTGACATAACCTCACACACCTTCCTTCTCTCCGTGCCAACCTGCTTTTATTTTCTCTTCCATGCTCTCAGAGGATGCAGAAGGCTGCTAAGATCAAGAAAAAAGCGGTGTGTAGGGCCTTGAGGCCCTGGGACAGTGTTTGCTTGTGTTCCCATGGCTTGTCCTGGGCGGTGGGGGCCGGGGGGGTTGCCCTGGGTATCCAAATGATGTTGCAAAACAACTTTTCCTCATCCCTTGGTGGGTGAATCTTAGATGTTTGTAAATGAAACCACAGACACTTCAATTTTTTAACCACCCATTTTGGAAGGATTTATTAGTTTCTCTTTCTTAGCATCTCCGATGTTCCTGTTTTACGTGGACATTTTAAATTGATATGACATTTAGTTGATATGGCAGCGTGGTGGGGCTGGAGCCTGGGCCTCCTGTGCAGTATCACTGAATTGTTCTGATAGCTAAAGATTCCTTGCGCTTAATTTACTAAGTCAGGAGGGTGACTTTGCCCGTGTGGGGCTTTCTTTATTGGAAATGAGTTTTTGGGCTGGGTGCAGTGGCTCACACCTGTAATCCCAGCACTTTGGGAGACAGAGGCAGGAGGATCATTTGAGCCTAGGAGTTTGAGACTGGCCTGGGCAACGCAGTGAGACCCCTGTCTCCACAATTTTTTTTTTTAATTAGCCAGGCATGGTGGCACATGCCTGAAGTCCCAGCTGCCTGGGAGGCTGAAGTGGGAGGATCACTTGAGCCTGGGAGGTCGAGGCTGCAGTGATCTGTGTTTGCACCACTGCACTCCAGCCTGGGCGACAGAGTGAGACCCTGTCTCTTAAAGAAAAAAAAAAAAAGAAAGAAAAACACGAAAATAAGTGTTGAAACACCGGCAGACTTTTAAAAATGGGTTGACGTTGAGTCATTTGTTTGTCACCTGGTCATTTAGTAAATGCTAGAGCTTTTCCAATCTGCCTCATACAGAAAATACCAAAATAGTTGGTGTCACAAGGCTTGTTGCCCACTGTTTTCTTCTGTTTAAACAGCAGGAGATTTAGTTCCCCCTCCCTGCTTTGAAGTAATGCCATTGTCTGGCGCTGTGGTCAGAAGACCCCACGTGGGGACTCCCTCTTCTGCAGCGAGGCTTTGGTCCACCTAGGACGTCTACTTTGGTCCACCTAGGACGTCTACTTTGGTCCACCTAGGACGTCTACTTTGGTCCACCTAGGACGTCTACTTCTTGCCCAGTGGCGTCTCCTTTGATTCTGCTCAGGAGCAAGGGAACGATGGCGCTCACGCTCCTCTTCCCAGGCTGATTTCCTCTGAGCAAGGCAGAACGTGCCAAACATTGCAGACTTGCAGTTGGGATGTGCTTTTCCCAAAAAAGAGGGGCCCTCGCTTGCAGCCTCCTGGTCCAGCTGGAGCAGGGAGTCCATACGGACTGCAGCCGGCTTCTGGGACTTGCAGGTCCAGCAATCCTACAGAGTCACTGCCGCCTCTGGAGGGGTTGGTACAGGCAGACCCAGCTCAGAAAGCCCTCTGCGGCCAGCCAGGTGGCCGCCTGACTACATTGAATTACGGTTTGTTCTTCCTTTTTGGAAAGTGGGATGCTCAGTGTCATTGTTGAAGGCCCCTTTCCTGGCCCGGCCACAGCTGTGCGGATGACTGCAGGTCATGCCCCCCATCCACAGACGTGCTGAGGCCCACCCTGTGGCCTGTTCTCTGGTGTCTGTAGGATCCGTACTGTTGACACCCTCCCTTCTTCCGCCAAGGAGGATGACGGGTGTCCTCTCCCTGCCCTGTTACTGATGGTTTCCGCTCCAGCCTGGGTGGCTTCAGGCTGCCCCTCTTCTCCCATCCAGGGATCCCAGCCTCAGGTTTCCTCCACAATTTTCACTAATGCCAAGGTCCACCTGCAACTTTTCTCACTTACTTCTGGCTTGACCTACTTTTTAGCAAGAGGATTTTGAGCCACAATCCATGAATATAACCTTTAAATGCATGCTGATGCTGAATGTAACCAAATTTTTAAAAACAGAAGAAGTTCCTCCACAGCTGCAGATTGTCAGCTGCACTTCTTTCAACTCCTTTCTCTTTCTAATGAGTTAAAAGCAAAAAAGCCCAAAAGACCCTTTCCCTTGAAAACTGAGCTAAAATACACTTTTATTATTACAATACCGGGCCTCTCTACGACTCAGAATTCTTGAGGAATTGTCAGCAGGGAGATTTCTTATTTCAGATTTTCTGGTGAATAATTAAATCATAGTTTTTGCCGTTTTGAAATGGAAGATAGACCACCCTGGGCTCCCCAGTGACCATGGAGAATTATTCACCTTGGTGGGCAAACTAATAGAACTTGAAATTCATTGCCACTGTGCAGTGGTAATTAGGATTCTTACAAATGTAAAAACCAATGAAAGGCTCTCCTAGTTTGGGGCAGACCCTGAAGAGTTCACTCAGCTCAGAAGAGCCCATGAAACCTGTCTCACAGCCATATGGCAGGCACGCTACAGTGGCTACAGGTGATGAATGAGGCCATTTGTGGGGCACGTCTCTTGGCTTCTCCGTCATTGTGAGGACAGCACTCAGGCCAGCCCCAGGGCTCAGTCTCCCAAGGCCACTGTGGGGTGGACATGATGGTGACTGTTTAAATCAGAAGGAAAGGCTGACATTTTCATTCAGCTCCTCTGAAAATGTCTTCCCCATTTCTTAAGGATACTTAGAATCCCAAATCCAGGAAATGTAGCCTGAGTCTATAAATTCCACAGGGGTTGGCCAGAGGCGCCCTGCTTGCCACTGACAGGAGGGGCTGTGGCGACAGACCCAGGCATCCCACCCCATCTCGGTCAAGCTCCTGGCGGCCGACCCTCCGCCCTCCTGGTTGCCTCTTACAGACGGCCTCAAGAACTCACACTTAGCTAGGTGACGCGGCCGGTGGCATGCAGGCAGATTCCTGATGGCCAGTAGCATTTCCTTCTGCGTAGACTCGGGATAAAATTGCTGAGCCTTCCTTCCAGTTATTACTTTTTACATTGACAGATAAAATTGTATTTACTGTGTACAACATAATATTTTGGAGTATATACACATTGTGAAATGACTACATCTAGCTAATTCACATGTGCATTATATCACATAGTTATAATTTTTGTAATGAGAACACTACATTCATTATCTTAGCAATTTTTAAGAATATGAAATATTCTTAACAGTAGTCACCACGATGCACAATAGATCTCTGGAACTCATTTCTCCTGTCTAGCAGGAGCTCTGTGTCCGTGGACCAATACTTCCCCCTTCACTCCTTTTTGCCCAGCCCCTGGTAACCACCATGCAGCTCTCTACTTCTACTGTGAGATTGACATTTGTAGATTCCACCTGAGCGAGATAGAGATCGTGCAGTATGTATCTTTCTGTGCCTGGCCGATTTCACTACACAGTGTGTCCTCTGGGGTCATCCATGTGTTGGAAATGACACGGCTTCTTCTTTGTGAAGGCTGAGTAGGCCTCCAGCGTGTCTGCCGCCACATTTCTTTATCCATTCCTCGTGAATAGACATTGGGTTGATCCCATGTCTTGGCTGCTGTGGATGGTGCTGCCGTGAGCATGGGAGTGCAGGTGTCTCCCAGACATGCTGATTGCACTTCCTTTGGAAATATGCCCAGCAGTGGGATTGCTGGATCACAGGGTGGTTGTAGCTTGAAGTTTTTGAGGAACTGCCATACTATTCCCCACAGCAGCTGCACTAATTCACACCCTCCCACAGTGTACCAGGGTTCCCCTTCCTCCACCCCACGCCAAGGCTGCTTTTTATCTTTTTGATAAAAGCCATTCCGACGGATATCAAATGATATATTGTTGTGGTTTTAATTTGGATTTATCTGGTGATTAGGGATGTTGAGCATTTCGTCATAATGCTATTTGCATGTCCTCTATTCCGAGTTGGTTTTTAGATTTTAACAGCATCCACTGTCTTTTCTTAGAATTCTGAGGGGGATGCCCAGACACTGACGGAAGTGGACCTCTTCATTTCCACCCAGAGGATCAAGGTTTTAAATGCAGACACGCAGGTAAGCGTTAAAGGCAGTTGTTCAAAATCAGGTAAACTCCTAAGTTCAACTCCTTCTTGTCCCATGATATAGGCCCTGGTTCTCAGCAGCTTCTCTCCTGTGCCCTCTGCTCCCATCAACCCAAAGCCCATAGCTCGGGCTGCAGGAGGAGCAAGGAGCGCACAGCAGGTAGCAGTTGTGCTGGCGTCACCCCAGGGCTCTGCAGGCGGGAGGTGGGTGGGAAGACCTGCTGGGTCTTCCCCTGCTCTGCAGTCCCGGGGAGCCTGACCTCTGGAGACAGAGGAGGCAGCAGCCCCCACTGTGTGGCTCACACTGCAGCCCACCACTCCCAACCCCAGCGCCGTGCCCCGACCACCCTCCAGGTCCTCACACACCCAGATGCGGGCATGGTGGTGCCCTTCCTTGTCACATGTGTGTCCTGTGTCCAGGCTTGCGCCTTGTCCCACTGATCTTTGTGTTCTGCACCCCCCTATCCTGGAAGCAGCCCCCTCCTGGAGCCTGGCACTTGGTGAAAACTCAGGGAGACAGGTGCCAGGGCTCAGGCACTGGGCATGCAGCACTGCACAGCCTTGGACTTCATTTTCGGATCTTTTGTGGGCAGACCATCTGGACTAGATCCCCCTCCCACCCTCCAAGCCCCACGCCTCATCACCCACCTGTGCTGGGGGGCCCCAAGACCACCGCAGGCTGGATGGTTTCGGAGGACTGACAGGACTCCACACACTTACAGCTGAGATTGATTGCAGCAGACAGCTCCAGAGCGGAAGTGGCAAAGTGGGTGCGGGCTTCCAGAGCCCTCCCCGCAGTCACACAGGACACACTGAACCCCCTGGCAAGGGGCTGTGACAAGAGAGTGAAGTGGTGTCTACCAGGGAAGCTCACAGACACTCAGCCCAAGGTATTTACTGGGAGCTGGTCACATAGGTACCCTCTGCCTGGCAGCTACCAAAATTCCAGACTCCCAGGGGGAAAAGAGGTGTCCAGCCTAGACCACGTTGTTTGCACAAAGGGTTTAGGCAAGAGGAACCATGTTTGTCAGTTCGGGTGCTGGGACCCCTCCTGAGATCCACGTTCCCAGATGCCAGAGAGGGCCAGCCTTGCAGGCGGGCCTTTCTGGGGACAGCAGCTAGGCCTGCCCCGGTAACTCTTCTTGCCAGTGTGCATGGAGGGCGGTGCCACACCCTTGCCAGTGTGCCTGGAGGGCAGTGCCACACCCTTGCCAGTGTGCCTGGAGGGCGGTGCCACACCCTTGCCAGTGTGCATGGAGGGCGGTGCCACACCCTTGCCAGTGTGCATGGAGGGCGGTGCCACACCCTTGCCAGTGTGCATGGAGGGCGGTGCCACACCCTTGCCAGTGTGCATGGAGGGCAGTACCACACCCAGAGTGGGAGGATGGGCCGGGGATTGAAGCTGGGCTGCATCCTCTAGAGCTGTATAGCCTTAAACAAGTTCCTGAACATCTCTGAGCCTCCTCATACCCACAGCCCCAGCTGAAAGAGTAACTCTTCTGATGGATCCTGTAAAGGAGAGATAAGAAACCCCCTAGCTTGGCCCAGTTTAGGGCTCCCTCCACTGGCCTCTTCTCCCTTCCCTTCCTTTCCCCTCTGAATCTTTGGATTCTGAACAGGGCATGCACATTAAATCTGTTGAGGCAGAGGAGCTGGAGAGGAGGGAACAGGTAAGAGAGACTGGGAAGGCCAAAGTAGCCAGTCAGGGCAGGAGAGCAGATGCGGCCATGTTGGTCAGCAGCCTCTGTCTGTGAGGAGGAGGAGGAGGGATCTGCCACTGATAGGAGCTGGGGAAGAAACATGTTTCTGACACCTGGGGATTGATGCAGGCATTTATGACAGTGACAGAAATCAGGAGATGCTGAAGAGCCACTCTAGCTGTTTCAGTGTCCCTCCCTGGAAGGTGACTCTTGTGGTTATGAAACACCCTCATGGCTTTGGCCAGAAAAAACGTCAGCTGCAGAGACAAAGGTGAAGCAGCATCCGCTGCAAAGTGGATTCTGTGAGGAAGAAATGAGGTCCAGAGGTTGCAGAAACACTCAAGTTTCTTTTGTGAACGGAGGACAAAAGCATAAAAGACCAGTGGATTAATTTTTCTGAGCTTTGTGTGCAGTCTTGTTAGGTAGGGGTTGTGGGCAAGATGCTGGCTGGAGATTCCTGTCCAAGGACAAAAGCCATCAAGAGTCATGGGCCTGCCAGAGGCCGAGGGAATTCAAGTGAGGTGGGCTACTTTGGTGTCTCCTGACCCAGGCCCAGGCTGCTTGGGCTCCCTGGGAAGAGCTCATTGAGTGACAAACATTGGCCTTGATGCTTTCCTCTTCTGCACGGCAGGAAGGCCAGGCCAGGCCAGGCCACTCCTGGGCCCATATGGGAGAGCACCTTGTTCAGGAGGGACCCTTCTCCAGAGCCATGAGTGGCTTCTCATCTGGGAGCAAATAGGTTTCACTATATGGCAAGCCCCTGCTCCAGCAGAGACAGCCCGAGAGCTCACCTGACATCACGCCTCCCTGGGTTCCACACAGTCCATTTGGGAAACTGGGACTGAGATGCGGGCAGAGTGACTTTGACTGTGAACCAGTACCCTAAAACGCTCTGTTAACTAGGGCCGTGGTTCTCAACCAGCGTGATTTTTGTCCCCTAGGGGACATTTAGCAATGGCTGGAAATAATTTATGTTCTCACACTTGGGAAGGGGGAGGTGCTCCTGGCATCTCCTGGGTAGAGGCTTGGAATGCTCCTAACACTTTGCAGTGCACGTGACAGCCCTCCACAATAAAGAATGGTCCGGCCCCAAATGTCAGGAGAATCAGGGTTGCAAAACCCGAATAATTGGAGTGCTTTTTTTTTTTTTTTTTTTTTTTTTTTTTTTGAGATGGAATTTTGCTCTTGTTGCCCAGACTGGAGTGCAGTGGCGCGATCTCGGCTCGATGCATCCTCTGCCTTCCGGGTTCAAGCGATTCTCCTGCCTCAGCCTCCCGAGTATCTGGGATTATAGGCACCTGCCACCACGCCCAACTATTTTTTTTTTTTTTTTAGTAGAGACAGAGTTTCACCATGTTGGCCAGGCTGGTCTTGACCTCCTGACCTCAGGTGATCCACCTGCCTCGGCCTCCCAAAGTGCTAGGATTACAGGCTTGAGCCACCGCACCTGGCCCTGTTGTGCTTTTTAACGGCTTGTCCCAGTAGTGTTTCCTGACGTGGCACTGTCTCCCTCCTGACAGGAAACCATGATGGACCACGCCTTGCGTACCATCTCCTACATCGCCGACATTGGGAACATTGTGGTGCTGATGGCCAGACGCCGCATGCCCCGGTCAGCCTCTCAGGACTGCATCGAGACCACACCCGGGGCCCAGGAAGGCAAGAAGCAGTATAAGATGATCTGCCATGTGTTCGAATCAGAGGATGTAAGTAAACTCTTGCCAGGGCACTCCCCTCCCAAGGTTCACAGCCCAGGGCAGCTCCAGAATCCAGGCACTGTGGACACCACCCTCAGGTGGAAACCCTCCGTGCCGTTATTGACGTTTCCAGTGGATGAGTGATCTTTTGCATACTCTTTGGGTTTGCAAAGATGGTGAACACAGTCTTATTCTACTTCTTGAAACAGGTTCTTCAGGAGCTGTTATAAATTGAGCCACGGTTAAATATATGAGGGAGCTGTTTGAAGAAATCCCTTTACAAAACATTTTCTCTACTCCAAATGAACTTTGCGTAACTTTTGTTATTAAAATGCAAATTTTCGCATGGCCCTGGCATGCTGTATGAAGAAGGCACATCTGCACATGAGGCTTAGTTCTGCCTTTGCGTGTGGTATGTCTTCCGAGCAAGTACAAAGTGATTCTGAAGTATAAGATACCAAAGACTCAGGAAAAGATCACAAGCCCTTTGGCTCCCTTCTTGGGCTGGAGAAGAGCATTGTTTTTAGCCTGGAGGGGGACAGAGGGACTGAGGAAGGAGCAGCAGGGCCAAGAGGGGAACTCGGAGAAGAACTGTCCTTCCTGGAGGCTAATCTTACTCACAGACCAGCAGCGGGGCTGCTGGTGAGCCAATTTTGTGGCTGTTGCCAGAGTGAAGTTTTAAGAAATGATCTATGGCTGGGCACTGTAGCTCATCATGCCTGTAATCCCAACACTTTTGGGAGGCTGAGGTGGGTGGATCACCTGAGGTCAGGAGTTCAAAACCAACCTGGCCAACATTGTGAAACCCCGTCTCTACTAAATATACAAAAAATCAGCCAAGCATGGTGGCGCGTGCCTGTAATCCCACTTGGGAGGCTGAGGCCAGAGAATTGCTTGAACCCGGGAGGCGGAGGTTGCAGTGAGCTGAGATCGCACCATTGCACTCCAGCCTGGGTGACAAGAGTGGGCAGTTGGCCAGGGCATTCTTTTTCACATAAGGACTTGAGGGTGTCTCAGGACCTGGGCAATAGGGAAGGGTCCCCATATTGTCATGATCCTGACATACGGCATGGGAACTGAAGACAGGGTTCAAACCTGTGGCTGGCGCAGTCATCTGCTTCCTAAGAAGCTGGGTCCACTTGAAATGCTTCACGCAATGGCAGATTTACAGGGGGGAGAGGGCATTTCAACAGCGCACTCACACATTCCTTCCACCGCTACACGGAGACCCCCCGACACCTGGATGGGCATTTCTGTGTGACTGAGGGCTGAGGATGTCTGAGAGACCTGGCACGGGCGTGGGCCACAGGTGCTGGCGGAATGAGGCCAGGGGCAGGCCCGGTGTCGAAGGGTGGCAGTCAGTTGGTGAGAGTTTCCGAGGGGCACTGAGAGCCCCCCAGGTGCAGCCGATGCGGAGGGTTAAAGCCAAGGGATGCCCTATTGGGTAGATGAGGTGAGGCTGAGAGACGGGGTGGATGAGGCCCAGGGTGGTCCTGCCCACACAGCAGCCTCCCTGTCCCCACCTCTCCAGCGCCTGAAGGCTCTGCCCACCGCCTACCTACAGGAGGCCGCTTGAGCCCTTGGGTGGGGCCTGGGCTGGACTCCTGGCCTCACAGCAGTGAACTCCCACAGGCTTGGCTGCGAGCTGGGGCTGGCAGGGCGACCCCTTCTCTGAAGCGCCAGCCGCAGAGCGAGCCCCCTGAACCCCACACCTCCCAGGAGGCAGCCGGGACCCGGAATGGAGGCGGCGGCTGGCTGCACACCAGCGGGCCTGATGACGCCTGGAGGAGGCGCAGCCCCGCAGAGCCGGCTCCTGGGCTTGGAGCTTCCGCGGGGGCGGAGGATGTCGTCCAAGGGGAGGAAGAATGGGGGTGGCCCGAGGGAGACCAAGTGGAGTCCAAGGGCCGTGGGTGGTGGAGCTGGGTTTCCGGAGCTCCCGTGCTCTCAGGCCGCCCTTCCCAGCCAGGTGGCAGCATCAGGCGGAGACAGAAGCAGAGGCTTGGGGGCCGCCCTGCGCCCCGGAACGCTGAGATCCCGGGTGGGTGGGGCAGGGACCCCCCCGCCGCCCTCCACTTCTCCCGGAGGCCCGACCCTTTCCTGCGCGGGCGCTGCCCCCGACCTCCCGCCGAGCCCCATCAGCTCGCCAACTCCGCAGGCCAGCCCGGCGGCGCCATCTGGCGGTCCCCGGGCATCGCGCCCCCAGCCGGGTCTGGCAGCGGCAGAGACCCTGGGCGTGGGAACCGGCAAGTCCTAGAAACCACTTAGGGCCCGTCAGGGAGGGCAGTTCCACGCCTGCTGGAGGGAAGGTCGCCTGCTGCGCGCTTCTAATCCCGCCCAGCTTGCCTTTCCCAATGCGTGCATTCATCTGCTGCTCTTACATCCTGCCACGTGGAGACTGGGAAGGGAATTGAGGCCAAAGCCCTTATTTCACCTGTTTGGGGATCCTGTTGAGTAGGAGTTTGCTGGGGGCGCCCGTGCAGAACCCCCTTGAGGGCAGCTGGGGAGGCAGGTGAGGAGCAGGACAGAGCATAAGGAGGGCCTCACACAGCCCAGAGCCTGGCGGGCGGCCCGCTGTGGGCTGAGACGTCATCGAGGTCGCCAAGAACCCCACCACACTCCCACGGCTGCACAGCTGCCAGCCTGCTTGGTGACCTCCGGGAACTCAGTACAGCTCTCACCTCCCACTGTCAACTGTCTGCGCCCCAGCAGGCGACCCGCCAGGCCCTGAGTGCTGTTTCAATGTCCAGGCCTCTGCCATGTCAGAGTGGGTGATCTCCATTGAAGCAGCTCAGTGGAAGTAGAAAGAAGCCACGTGCTCCGTAGGGGCTGTGTGGAGTCCCAGGTCTCATGTCTTGCAGGCCTGGCCTGGCACAGCCACATGTCCCTAGTGGGCACTGGGTTCTGTTGCTACCAATAAATATATGCAGGGTAGACAACTAGCAGCATGATGCTCCCAGAAAACACACTGAAAGTCCATTTTCGGCATAGGATGAGTGGAAAGAAAATACAGATGGGGCCGGGTGCAGTGGCTCACACCTGCAATGCCAGCACTTTGAGAGGCCAAGACAGGAGGATCATTTGTGTCCAGGAGTTTGAGACCAGCCTGGGCAATATGGCAAGACCCCCATCTCTACAAGAAACAGTTTTTAATTAGCTGGATGTGGTTGTGCTCACCTGCATTCCCGCTCCAGTCTGGGCAACAGAGCCAGACCTCATCTCAAAAAAAAAAAAAAAAGCAAAAATATGACATGTAATCAATAATTCATTGTTGTCCTAGACTTTGTTTGAAACAGCTTTGACCTGGAGCATCTGGGCCATGCCACAGCTTAGGCAGGGACAGTCAGGAGCAGACCCTTCAGGGTTCAGGGCAACACGGGGGTTCACTCACGGTGGGGTGCTGGTGGGAGACAGCCTTCACCAGATGAGGGAGGGCCCCCAGTTTCTTTCTTGTTCTTCTAAGCTGGAACAAGGGCCCCCTTGAAGGCTTACGGGTGCATCCTGCACCCAGCCCTGCCGCAGCCCCTGTTGAGGAGGCCGCGGGGAGCCTGTGCCGCATGCCTGTCTCCAGCAGGCCTGCCCTCTGCGCAGGCCCAGCTCATCGCCCAGTCCATCGGCCAGGCCTTCAGCGTGGCCTACCAGGAGTTCCTGCGAGCCAATGGCATCAACCCCGAAGACCTGAGCCAGAAGGAGTACAGCGATATCATCAACACCCAGGAGATGTACAACGACGACCTCATCCACTTCTCCAACTCGGAGAACTGCAAGGAGGTAAGCCACGCCCACCGGCCTCAGGGAGGCCACGTTTGCCAGCTTCTGCTCCCTGAGCTCCTGCAGAGCGAGCCTTCCCGGGGTCCTCACGCACACCCTTGCCTTCCATCAGACTCGAGTGCGGCCCGGAATGTGCACCTCGCTCCTGCCTTCCAGCTGAGCGCTTGCGTGTGAAATGAGGTGTTCGTAACAAAGAAGCTGATTACAGTCGGCTTTAATGACCTCGAAAATGTGCCTTTTAATGCTGCTATTATCAACCGGCGCTCAGCACCCGGGAGATATTTCTGAAAAGCACGTGGCATCTCTAAAGGGAGCTTGGGTGCTCTGGCAGGGGAGGCTAGAAACCACCAGTAGCAGAGGCCTTAGCTGGTCCCAGTGGCTTCCCCCAGGGGACTTTGGAAAGTTCTTATGGGCAGAGAGGAGCAAATACCCTGGGGATGGCCCGTACCTTGACTGTTTGTTAAAGGGCTGAATTGTTCTGTCTGCGGTGGATGAGTGGATGGCCTCTGCTGCTTGTTGAATGGGTGAATGCGTGATTCTGGTTTCTTGCTGAAGACATTCCAGGCAGTTTCCGAAACAGTGACCTTTGAGAGGAAGTAAAAGTAGAAGGACTTTTCCAACAAGAGTGAAGGCCGGGGGCAGGCTATGGGTGCTGGAGTCTGAGAGCCTTCCTCTGGCCTCTGTGGGTGTGGTGGGGTGGAAGGAGCAGGAACCAGGACACTGGAGCCCTGCTTGGGGTGGGAAGGTCAGTGTTGGGCATGGGTAGGGATGGAGTCAATGCCGGGCATGGGTGGGGATGGGGGTCTGTACTTCCAGGTTCCCAGGATTGCTGGGTGGACCCCAGGGAGGCATGGGAGCCAGAGTGGGGTGGGCAGGGCCTCTAGCCCAAGACCTCTCCTGTATGAGATGAGCCAGCCTTGGATCCCATGGCAGGGTGGAATGTGCTGGGACAGGGTCAGCCTCATCCTTCTGTGGGTCCTTGGCAGAGGCCCCAGTCCCTGCCACCAGCCCCTCTCACACTGCTGATCCCTTTGCAGCTGCAGCTGGAGAAGCACAAGGGCGAGATCCTGGGCGTGGTGGTGGTGGAGTCAGGCTGGGGCTCCATCCTGCCCACGGTGATCCTGGCCAACATGATGAATGGCGGCCCGGCCGCCCGCTCAGGGAAGCTGAGCATCGGGGACCAGATCATGTCCATCAATGGCACCAGCCTGGTGGGGCTGCCGCTCGCCACCTGCCAAGGCATCATCAAGGTGGGCACCCTGGGACCCTCCGCCCAGGGGTCGCCTCAGCCCTGCCCCACTTGATCCCCACTTTGCTGCAATCCACACTTCACCCACGGTGAAACTGAGGGCCAGGGAGACTCACCCGGTGATTGGTTGATGATGGCATCAAAATCTGAACTCAAGACCATTCCCCATGTCTGAATCAGAGGTGGCCCCGGGCTGCCCTGGGGTGGGAGGGGAGGGGTTGTCTGAGCCCTGTATCAAGCCATGTGGCCCTGGGCAAGGGCCCAAGGACCAGTGAGTATACAGTGACCAGCTTATCCTGTTTTGCCTGGGGCTTTGCCAGGTTAGCACTGAAAGTCCCGCTTCCGGGAAACCCCTTCAGTGCTCTTGGGCTGGGGAGGTGGGGCACCCTGCATGGGTTGAGTTCTGGGACACAGGTTCCCTTAAGTAAGGAGGCCACCTTGACCGTCAGACTCATGAGCTTGCAGCTTTGGGAGGTGCTGCCTGTCGCTGTCAGGGGCCAGGCAGAAGGGTCACCGGCAGGTGGGGTGGGGGCCTTCACACTGACCACTTGCGGAGGAGTGGGCTCTGCCTGCTGCTGGCGACTCCTGTGACCCAGCTGTGGCCTGGCCCCCAGCCCTCTGTGGCGTGTTCCTCCCCACCCTGCTGTGGTCTTGGTGCTGGAGACAACACCGTCCTCCTCTCTGTTCAGCGTGAGAGATGAAGGGCATTCCCCAGGCCAGAGCATCTCATAGACTGGCTCTCGGAGCTCGCCCGGCAGAGCTTCTGCCCGATGGGCAGCCACACAGAGAGACATGGGAGAGGCCTCTGCCAGCGAGGTCTCAGCAGCCGAGGTCCCCACTCCCAGGGCTGCAGCTCCCAGGTGGAGGCTTGGGTTCCTCCCCATGCCTCTTCAACCCCACCGGACCCCAGCGGCCTGGTGCACCCGCTTCCTCACTCAGAGATTTGCTGCGCAGTCACTCCCTGCCCTGCAGGAGGTCATCCTTGGAGGGCATTGGGTTTTGAGGAAGGTGTCCCCACATTCTTCCGTAGGAAACTCTCCTGAATTTGGCATGATGATGGCCCCCTCGACACCCTGAGGGTGAACTGGTGCCAGGCGCATTGGTTCTGCCCAGTGGCACTCAGAGCCTGGGCTCACTCCCGCAGCGGCTCATCTTCCCCAGGGCAGAGGTGCCCTGAGCATGGTGGGAAAGAGGGCGCAGTGCCGCCCTGGAAACCTGGCAGCTCTGGGAAGGGCCAGAGCGAGGCTCGTCCTCACTGCACAGAGGGGCTACCGAGGCTGAGAGGGGACTGCCTGCCTCACCCAGTGTGCGTTCTCACTGCCCCCAGCCTCCGCCCTGCCAGCCTCACCCATCCTGGGTCAGGCTTGATGTCTAAGGCCCAGTCTTTGACTCCTATCCCCGTGCTCTGCAGGGCCTGAAGAACCAGACACAGGTGAAGCTCAACATCGTCAGCTGTCCTCCGGTCACCACGGTCCTCATCAAGCGGCCAGACCTCAAGTACCAGCTGGGCTTCAGTGTGCAGAATGGCATTGTGAGTCCCCCCCTCCTGCCCTGGGCCACCACCACCGCTGCAGGGCCCAGGGAGGGAGAGCAGCTCCCATCTGATGGGGCGGCTATGCCTGGCAGCCTGGCAGGACCTGGCCCATGGGTGCAGCTGCCCACAGCCAGGCCACCCGGGACAGGAACTTTCCATGGCTCTTTGGGAGGTTTTGGGTAGAAGGGGAGGGCCAGGGCATGGCCGTGGATTGGGCCCCTGCAGCCTTTCCCAGGTGCCCTTGTCCCCACAGTGGCTGTCGCCTGCTTTGGAGGGAGGGCAGCAGGCTTCGCTAGCACGGTGGCTTGGACACAAGCAGTCGTGGCATCAGTTACTGTGCTCAACAAACAGATGCTCGCTCGTTCATCCATTCGTGTACTCATTCACTTGTTCACGCAGCCATTCAGCAGACATCTGTGAAGTGCCTGCTCTGTGTTAGGCGTTGCGCCAGGCAATGGGAAGCCTGGAGTGCTGCCTGGAGGAGGTGATGCTGGGCTTGAGTGTGGTTCTGGCCAAAAGCCTGTGCCAGTTCCCTGGGCCAAAGTTCTTTAGCCCAGAGTTTCCACCCTCTCATTGACCTGCGTTTGGCCGGAATTCTCGTTCCTTTGTTTTCCCTTCTGCAAAACACCCAGAGGGGAGAGATGTGGCCACTAAATGGAATAAAGAAGAAAAGGGCTGGCAATACCCAAATTGTTTAAACCAGCCCTGAGTGTGAGGCAGCGTAGCAGGAGGGGCATCGCGGGCTGGGGTGGAGTGGCGTGGAGGCGACGGGGAGGACGTGTGTCCACCCACAGCCACAGAGGAAAGACAGTGGGAGAACATTCTAGAAGGACTACCAAATCTTCTCCATTGTTTTCTGGTGAAGCAGCATGGAGGGGTATACCCACCGTCAGGGTGGAGTCACAGGGCTTGGGCTCAGGGCCCATCTCTGACCCTGCTGTGTTAGAGCAAATTTGCTTCTATGAAAAAGATTCCACAAATCTTCATATACTGAGAGCTGACTGCTTATTCGTGCTGCAGTCTGATTTGCAGGAGGCGCGGTGGGGGTGAGCTTCACTCCACAGAGCCACTCAGGGGCCCAGGCTCTGCCCTCAGCTGGGCTTCCGCAGCCCCCACTGGGAGCTCTGTGTCTGGCTGGCACTGCAGGAAGAGAGGCAGCTCAGAAGACCTTGAAGGTTTTCAGGACCAGGGCAGAAGTGGCCCTTGTCATTTCTGCCCACAGCCCACTGGCCAGATAGCTCAGCCACAGACCCATGGGAAGCGGGGGCCAGCCGGCGCCCAGAACGAAGAGGGACAGGGCATCGCCAGTGTCAGCCATACCTTCCCGGCTGTGTGACCCTCGGCAAGTCACTTAACACTCACTGGATTCCCCTCAAAAGGTGCTTGTGAAGATCAGCAGAGAAAATCCATAACGTACCCCAAGCTACCCAAGGTGGGCCCGCTGGTCCTAGTCTTTGCCAAGGAGGAAGGCCTGTGGCCCCTGGACCTGCCACAGGTGCCAGGACAAGTTGTCTGCACCCCACTTGGGGCTTCTGTCCAGGACAGTGCGCCTGCCACAGGAGCTGGCCAGGTGGTGGTCTGGCCTGGGCCGGCTCTGCCTGACTGCTCTGCACACATGTGGCCTGGGCACAAGCAGTTGCCCCAGCTCATTTGGAGGCTCTGCAGAAAGTCAGCTGGGGCCCTGTCTGCAGCTGCCGTGAGCACTTTGTGGACGGGCATGGCTGGGCCCCAGGGAGGAGGGCTGGGACAGCCTTCTGGGCTCCCGCACCCCAACCGTCACCAGGCCCTGACTGTGTGCCTCCCACCCCAGCACTGGGGACAGTGGAGGAAGCTGGGGACTGACAGCCCTGCAGCCCTCACGAGGAGCTGTGCTGTGCAGAGCCTGGGGCGCTGTGTGGTGTCCCCGGGCTGCCCCTGCCTGGCCAAGCCTGTTGACTACACAGTCTTTGCCTCCTGAGTGGCACTGGGGAGCTGCTTGTCCTGTCCCAGCACCCCTTGCCCAGCCTAGGAGGCAGGTGGGCCTGGGTTGGTGGCCAGTGCCGCTCCCTGACAGCCCCGTCGCTGGGAGCCCTGCAGGAGAGGGTGGCCTGGGGGCTGCCCACTCTTAGGGCCTGTGACTATAGCCCTGCCCAGGATGAGTTTGATGCCCCCTCAGTCTGCTGGTGTCCCCCAAACTATAACCGCATGAGGAGCACAGGAACTGGAGCAGCTGGGGCACACAGAAGTTTAGTGACTTGCCCCAGGTCACACAGCCACGTGGAGCACTGGTGGGGAGAGGGGAAGAAGAGACAAGGAAGGGAGGACTCCGGTTTGTGTTTTGTGGGGGCTAGATTAACGTGCATGGGAAAGGAGGGGACAGTTGGAGCAGCCCAGCCAAGCCCAGGTGCAGGGTTCTGTGCCTTCCTTCCCAGAGAGCCAGAGTGCAATGGGCGAGTGTGAAGCCCGGGCGGAGGGCAGTGGATGGAGACCAGGGCTGTCTCCAGCTGCCTTCTGGGGCAGGTGCGGGGAGTCTGGAGAGTTCCCGAAGATGGGGCTGGGTGGGTCCAAGTGGCCAGGAAGCTGAGGATGGTGGTGTGGATGGGCGTTTCTCAAAAGATTAGAGGGTTCAGGGTTGAGGGCAGCAGCAGACTTGTGGGGCCTGGAGTGAGGAGGGGGTCATTGCAATTCTGAAGACAAAATCTCCGGGGTGGCAATATGAAAGAGAGGGTGCCACCCACTGCTTGGTGTCTCTGCCCTGGATCCGGGGTCTGAGTTCCGGAGTGATGGAGGGGGCCAAGCGTCTGTGAAACTTGGGGGGTGGTCTGGGGTCACGACTGGGGACGAGGAGGATCTGAAGGTCCCAGCCCTGCTCGTGGATGCGCTGCTGTCCCACCCTCTGGCCTCCGCCTCCCTGTCTGTGAAATGGGTCCCACTTCCTTGAAGCCCCAGTGCTCAGGATGCAGGGGAGAGGCTGGCAGCCGAGGGGAGGGGCAAATGCTGGCTCTCAGGGGCTTTCTCCCAGATACAGGACAGCTCACCCTGAGAGTGCCAGGGAGGGCTGGATGAAGCGAATGAACTGGCATGGTTCTGTCCTGGTTATGATCCATCTCCCCAGTGATCCAGAAAATGGCATGCAGGCGGCCCTACAGATCAGTCACCATCTCTGCGTGGCTCGGCTGCCTGGTGGTAAACACCAGGCCCCTCAGACCCCCAAGTGTGGACCGCACCTTTTGCACCTGCCTCATGAGTGCCCGTGGCCATGGTGGGGGTTGAGGGTAGGGGCTGGCTGTCCCTGTTTGGCCCTCTGTGCACCTAGACACAGAGGCTGTCACAGAGGCTGTCACCTGTCCCCCTGCAGGTCAGGACTCACCCACCCCAGGGACTTGTCCAGGCGTCTGCCTGGCTGAGGTGCACCAGGGGCTCCAGGGAGCAATGAGCCTGGGATAACATTCAGGAGACCCGAGGGTGCTGGCTGCTCTGGTCTAAGCCACTTGTCCTTCACAGCGTGCTCAGGATGGGACCCGCAGCCCCGAGGGCCCTGGTCTCCACTTTCAGGACTCTGGTACCCTGGGTTCCTGCTGCCCCCGACCCTGTAGCGGTGTGGCTTTTCCCTCGGTGTCACCTCTCTGGGACCTCCATCCCCACCATGCCCAGTGAAGCTCTCACCAGTGTCCTCCTGTCCTTGCCAGGCCCCCCGCCTGAAGTCCTGGCTCCAGCTGGCCTGGGACAGCCACAGGGCACCTTGTATCCCAGGAGCCGGTGGGCAGGGACAGGTGGTCCTCTCAGCCTCCACGTGCGCAGCCACCCGGGGAGCACGTGCGGGCGCTGGAGGATGCCTGGCTAGGAAATGGGGTCTATCAGCGCCTGCCCCGACCTGCAGCGGTTCTCCCCAGTGACTTCAGAAACATTCCCTGTGGCAGGTGGCAGTGCTTAGCATGCAGGGCGAGCAGTCAGATGAGATCTGGGCCTGCTGCAGAAATCTGGGTGCTGATGTGGGGGGAGGGGGAGGCCCCTCCCAGTTGTCTGTGTCTGCACGTGTGTGCACATGCAGGTGTGTTTGGGAGAGGTGAGTCTGCTTCTCCCATCCCAGGCCACTCGCCTCCTGCCACGGCTCAGCACAGCCTCCTTTCTCCAGGATAAGAGGGCCCCGGGGCGAAGGAGCTGCGGTGTGAAATCTGCTTCTCCCTACCCCCTTCTCTTCTAGTCTTCATTCTCCTTGGACATCCATTTTTCTGGTTTTTGTTTCCATTTAAAAAATAACTGTGGTAAAGTACATCTATAACATAAAATCGAGCATCGTACCCATTTTGAAGTGCGGAGTTCTGTGGCAGTCCATCTGCGTATCAGGCAGCCGTGGCCACTGTGCTCTCCTGCACGACTTCGTCCTACCGAGTGGGAACTTTGTCCCCACTAAGCACCTCCACCCATTCCTCCTTCCCAACCCCTGGCAGCCCCCCACGTCTACTTTGTCTCTGTGATTCTGACTACCCCAGGTGCCTCATATCAGTGGCATCGCGCGCTGTTTGTCCGTGTGCCTGGCCTGTTTCACGCAGCGCAGTGTCCCTGCGGTCTGTCCGTGCTGTAGCGCGCGTCGGACTCTCCTTCCTCTCCAGGGCTGAGTACTGTTTCCCTGCAGGCCTAGAGCACATTCTGTTTCTCTGCTAGTCCTTGCTGTCACCCTCGGCTGTTGTGAACGCTGCTGCCGTGAACACGGGTGTGCAGGGCGCCTGTTTTCCAGTCTGTCCAGTCTCATGATCACAGGCGCTCCCAGGCCCTCCAGTCCCTCTGTTTGACGTCACTTTTAAGCTGGAAATGGAAACTCCCGCCACTGCACTCCAGCCTGGGTGGCAGAATGAGACCCTGTCTCCAAAAAACACAGAACCAGTGTGTTTGGCACAAAATGCCCTTATGTCACCTGGTGGGGGGGGATATAGGAATAAAAGTGACTCTTCCCTGCCTATGTAGAGCGTTTGGGCATCTGGCAAACAGAGCCTTCCCTTGACAGAACAGATGCCCCACCTTTCTGGTGGCCAGGGGACAGGCTGCCTCTCCTTTCCCGCCCAGCCACCAGCTAAGTGCCTGTGTTCCAGGATGGTAACCAGGCTCAGCTGCGGGAGGCCAGGTGGCAGTGGCCTTGGGCTATGTCACCAGTCTCCAGCCTGACCACAAAGGGAGGGGCCCTGGGGGAGGTGCGGCTGTGGACCGGTTCCACCGTGGGAGTTAGAAAACGTGTTGGTTCTCCACACACCATGGCATTGACTCTCTTGTTTTAAGGAAGCACAGTCCAGATCATAAGCGGTGCCGTCTGAGTCAACGAATTGCACGTGCACGTACTCATCACGTGGCGCTTTTCCCTCCGCGTGTCCTGTCTTTGGAGACATGGTGGAGCGCCTGTCAGGTGTGGCAGGAACACGTGTGCTGACCTGACCATGTCTGCTTAGATTTGCAGCCTCATGAGAGGGGGCATTGCCGAGCGAGGGGGCGTCCGCGTTGGCCACCGCATCATCGAGATCAACGGGCAGAGCGTGGTGGCCACAGCCCACGAGAAGATAGTCCAAGCTCTGTCCAACTCGGTCGGAGAGGTAAGGAGGGACTTCGGGTGTGCCTCTGCGTGCCGGTTCCCGTGTGCTCCCGCCTGCCCTCCATGAGCCTCACCCGCTCCAGAGGACACAGGGCGTCTGAAGGCCAGCCAGGCTGTCTCCCACCGGGGCAGCTGTGACAAGGGTGAATGGAGTGGCAGGTGATGCGGGGCCATCCCGGTCTGCTCTAACTGAGCAGCTGGGAGGGCACAGGCTTCTGGGGGTGCTCCTTGGACACTACTTTTGGGACTGGACTTGTATGTCCAGTTCAGAAGCTCTGCAGGGCACACGGCTCTGGCCACCCTGGCAGGCTTGCCTCTCTGCCCCTGTTGGCCGTCCCCTCCCACAGCCAGGCTGCTTGCCCGGTCCCGCTTCCCTGGCTGAAGCCCCCAGTCCAGTTCTTTCTGGCATTGCTTCCACGGCAGCGCGAGGATGGTGTGCGGGAGGCGCCGGTCTTCCTCCAGAGCTCACAGGGCAGCAGGATCATTAGGAGGAGGGATGGTGCTGGTGGGGTGGCACGTACACTGGGGGAGGCCTGGCCAGCGCGCTGCAGGACTGTGTGTGTGTGTGTGTGTGTGTGTAGTGTGAGTGGGTGTGGGTGTGTGCATGTGCATGTGTGAGCATGCGTGTGTGTGGAATGTGATGTATGAGTGTGGGTGTGAGTTTAAGTGTGGGCAGGTGTGGGAAATGGGTGTGTACATGCACATGTGGGTGTAGGGGTGCATGAGTGAGTGGGTGTGTGTGGCTGTGTGAATGTACCTGAGAGTGTGTGTGGAGGAGTGTCGGGGGGGGTGAGTGTATGTGTGTGGATGTACATGTGTGTGAGACAGCATGGGGTGTGTAGGAGTGCAAGTGTGGGTGTGAGTAGGGGTGTGTGGCTGTGGGTCTGAGTGGATGTGAGGCATGGGGGTGTGGAGTGTGAGTGGGTGTGAGTAGGGGTGTGTGGCTGTGGGTCTGAGTGGATGTGAGGCATGGGGGTGTGGAGTGTGAGTGGGTGTGAGTAGGGGTGTGTGGCTGTGGGTCTGTGAGTGGATGTGAGGCATGGGGGTATGGAGTGTGAGTGGGTGTGTGTGAGTAGGGGTGTGTGGCTGTGGGTCTGAGTGGATGTGAGGCATGGGGGTGTGGAGTGTGAGTGGGTGGGTGTGAGTAGGGGTGTGTGGCTGTGGGTCTGTGAGTGGATGTGAGGCATGGGGGTGTGGAGTGTGAGTGGGTGTGAGTAGGGGTGTGTGGCTGTGGGTCTGTGAGTGGATGTGAGGCATGGGGGGTGTGGAGTGTGAGTGGGTGTGAGTAGGGGTGTGTGGCTGGTGGGTCTGTGAGTGGATGTGAGGCATGGGGGTGTGGAGTGTGAGTGGGTGTGAGTAGGGGGTGTGTGGCTGTGGGTCTGTGAGTGGATGTGAGGCATGGGGGTGTGGAGTGTGAGTGGGTGTGAGTAGGGGTGTGTGGCTGTGGGTCTGTGAGTGGATGTGAGGCATGGGGGTATGGAGTGTGAGTGGGTGTGTGTGAGTAGGGGTGTGTGGCTGTGGGTCTGAGTGGATGTGAGGCATGGGGGTGTGGAGTGTGAGTGGGTGTGAGTAGGGGTGAGTGGATGTGAGGCATGGGGGTGTGGAGTGTGAGTGGGTGTGTGTGAGTAGGGGTGTGTGAAGGGCGTTCAGCACAAAGGGGCTTCAGGCTCTCTGGGATGAGCAGGGAGACTGAGAGCTGAGGAGCCTGGCCTGCAGAGGGGCCCGCGGGGGACCGGGCAGGGAGTTTCGGGCAGGGAGTTTGGGTCGGGGTCTGGGGACAGCAGTGGCAGGCTGGGCGGTCTGTGGCGCTTCCCCCGGCGGCCCTGTGGGGGCTGAGTACGTGGAAACCATCCTTGCAGCCTGTGGGGTGGGTGGGCGGAGGGGCCTCCGGTTCCTGTTCCTCAGATGAGGTCTCGCGGAGCCACGTCGGGACACTCACATGTTGTGCACTGCAGGGTGTGCTGGGGGCTGGGAGGCCTGTTTTCCCTGTGCTGGTGAGGGCAGGGGCCGGCTCAGGAGGAGGAGGGTCCCCGTGCTGGTGAGGGCAGGGGCTGGCTCAGGAGGAGGAGGGTCCCCGTGCTGGTGAGGGCAGGGGCCGGCTCAGTTTTCTCCGTGCTGGTGAGGGCAGGGGCTGGCTCAGGAGGAGGACGGTCCCCGTGCTGGTGAGGGCAGGGGCTGGCTCAGGAGGGGCGGTCCCGTGCTGGTGAGGGCAGGGGCCGGCTCAGTTTTCCCCGTGCTGGTGAGGGCAGGGGCTGGCTCAGGAGGAGGACGGTCCCCGTGCTGGTGAGGGCAGGGGCTGGCTCAGGAGGAGGAGGGTCCCCGTGCTGGTGAGGGCAGGGGCTGGCTCAGGAGGAGGAGGGTCCCCGTGCTGGTGAGGGCAGGGCCGGCTCAGGAGGAGGAGGGTCCCCGTGCTGGTGAGGGCAGGGGCCGGCTCAGGAGGAGGAGGGTCCCCGTGCTGGTGAGGGCAGGGGCTGGCTCAGGAGGAGGAGGGCCAGGCGGACACCAGCCTCCCTTTGATGGCTTCAAAGAAAGGAAAAGCCAGTGTTCCCAAGTAGATGCTTTGAAGCGGCCGCCCCCACGGCCCTCAGCCCCACACCGGTGAGGGAATCCACCCCTGGAGGAGTGGGCGGGAGCACGGAGAAGAGGCAGGAGGCGGCGGGGCGGAGGAGCCCTTTCAGCCCTGCCGCGGTGGTGGTGCCTGTTTCCAGCCTCCCTGAGCCCACGTGGGCCAAGAGTCCCGGATAAACAAGGCTTGCAGTTGTGCGGGCCTCGGGGGGTTTCCGGCTGAGGAACGCCAGGGAGTGACTGACGGAGGAAGCCTGTGCCGGGGGCAGGAGCAGCAGAAACTTGCCCTGGCCACACAGATCCCGGCGGGGGAGGGAGGGCAACGCCTCAGAAGCAGAGCTGCACGGTGTGCCTTTCCCGGCTGCTCAGCCCAGGACCCGAGACCTGCTTGCCTGAGGAGGGGCAGTGGCAGGGCAGCCGCACCCGGTGGGGAGGCCAGCAGCCCTGTGGCAGCCAACTCTGGCAGTGCAAGGGCCCCTGTCCCGAGGCCACAGCCCAGCGCAGTCCCGGGCAGGACGGGACAGCGTCACGCTCAGGGGAGGAGAGGTGGGCAGCAGAGCTCCCCTTCTGTTACTGAAGCAGACGTTTGGAGTGCTCCTTCCCAGTGCCCCACAGAAGGATTATGAGGCGTGCCACCCACATGGTTGGTCTCCCTGGGTGGTCTGAGGCTTTGCTTGTGTACTTAGCTCCTTTGAAGCCAGGGCTCAACGCCAGGCCCCAAAGGGTCATTTGCTCACTGATCCCCAAAGGCTGGGGACTTGAGGTGCCCTGGGCCCCAGCGAGCCTGATCCCAGCCCCCAGCACACTTGCCTGGCCAGTGTCAGTTCTGTAAGAAGGGCTCTGTCTTCCCCCGTTGGTCTCCTCCTCACTGAGGCAGAGTGTGCCCATCACAGTTTCTGCTGAGGCCTGGGCACCCCCAGCCAGCCCCAGTGGATGGCAAACTGCTGTCACTGCTAGAAGTCCAATTTCTTACCCTCTGGGTGTCAGCAGGACTGGAAGCAAAACTAGCACTCAACTGTGTAGACGCCTCTGGAGCCAGGGGTGGGGGCCCGGAATCTCGGTCTGCCGCATCGGGAAGGCATCCTAAGTGCCCCCAGGCCTGGGCAGGCCGGCCCTCCTCCTCCACTCTAGGAGACGGGCATTTGAAGCAGAACTCGGGGGTGGGGGGTCGCCTCTGTCGTTTGCTTTCACCTGATTGTGGGAGGGGCAGTGGGAGGGCAGCGGCTCAGCCTCCTGTGTCTGTTGGCAGATCCACATGAAGACCATGCCCGCCGCCATGTTCAGGCTCCTCACGGGCCAGGAGACCCCGCTGTACATCTAGGCCCCCCCAGCCTGGCCACGCAGCCTGGACACCGGGCAGGGCCACCCGGGCCCGGAGGAGCTGGGAGCCGGGCCGCAGATTTGACCCCGACGCCACAGCCCAGCCACGGACACTGGCTCCCCAAAGGGCGTGCCCTCACCGCCCACTTGGTTTCTTTTCTTTGTTTTCATTTTGCCAAAAAGGGGTGTGTCTTGATCAAAGGAGAGTCACAGAACAAATGTTTGTAAAGCGTTCAAGTATTTTGCCACGTTCTGGACTGTCTTCTCCCTGCACCAGCCAGGGTGTGTCTCGCTAGCCGTGCGTGGTGTGACCAGCCAGGGTGTGTCTCGCTAGCCGTGCGTGGTGTGACCAGCCAGGGTGTGTCTCGGTAGCTGTGCGTGGTGTGACCAGCCAGGGTGTGTCTCGCTAGCCGTGCGTGGTGTGACCAGCCAGGGTGTGTCTCGGTAGCCGTGCGTGGTGTGGAATGTATGTCTTTCCTCCCTGAAGCTGTGCGGAGTGAACTGGGGCCTCCAAGAGAGGCGGCTCCCAGGGCAGGGCAGCCATCAACCCTGCCTCCCGCCCTCTTGGCCGGGATGTCTGGGGTCCTGTGGGGCCCCCGCAGTGGTCCCAAACAGCTGCCTCTGCCACTGACGGCAGGGACACAGGCAGCCCGGCTCCCAGGACATGACTTGTAATGCAAGTTTGGGGACATGTGATGGATTGTAAATAAAGGATGATGGCCACAACACGAAAACTCCCTATTTATTTAGATACTATTACTGTTTGGACTTTTATTTTGGCAGGCTGTTTTTCAGACTTGAGGGTTTTCCAGTGTGACCCATGACCACACCTGCCTCTCCTGTAGTCTCTCCCGGAAGCCCTCCCAGCCGGCTGCATCCCCGGGCAGGGCTCCCACAGAGACAGGGAGGGCGCAGGCATCTGCCCCCGCTTTAAAGTCGATCTACACACACTCCTCCAGGCACGTGCGCCTTCGAGGAAACAAAACCCAGGCTAGACAACGCGACCTCGGCCACGCCGAAGGCAGCCAGCCGTGAGTGCAGACCCCTCGGCCAGCGTGGCACGGCAGCCCTGAGCAGTAGTGGTGTGTGTGTAGATCAAGTCAGATCTAGTCCAGCTCAGTTCATTAGCGATCCATGTAATCTGATGTCATCTTGTCCCAAAGTCTCTTTTTTTGGCCCAGGCCTTGAAGAATACACTGTGACTTAAGAAGCCTTACCACGCAGTAACTACAGCTTTAGGATGATTGTATTCGAGGAGTGCCGTGTGTTGCATGCAGCTGCCCGTAGGAAGACTTTGCGCATATCACTAATAAACCCGAAGTCGTGATGAAAAGCCGTGTGTGTGACTGCTCTGTTACCTGAGCGGCGGGTGCTACCTGTCCTCTCATTCACAGCTTGGATGCGGCTCTGCAGGTTCGCTATGCGGTGGTGGCCATGGCTGCTCTGTGCCCCTCCTGGACCCTGAACCTTGGAAGCTGTCACTAAGGAGGTCGGAGGGTGGGTGCGCTGGGCACCAGGTGTCAGCTGGGCAATGCCCTGCTACAACTGGAGGTGCCAGCAATGCTGCCAGATCACGGGGTCAGTGCCAGGTTCTTGACCCACTTGCCCCAGCGGGGAGACACGTCCACAGAGCACCGACTAATGGAATCAGGGAGCTCTGGGCTTCTTCGGATTTCAGCATGAACAACCCCTGGGAAAGGTGCGCATGCGTGTGCGTGTGTAACAGCCGGACCGCCCGTCCCAGCACCTTCTGCACCTGTGGGTCCTTTGCAGCCTGTCTAGAGTGACAATTCTGGCAGCTGTGCCAGCACTTACCTTTCTTCATGGCCACCGTTCTGGCATCGCCTGGTGTGGGAAAGCCAGGTAGCAAGCGTGGGCTCTGGTCAGAGGCGGGGCCCGGGGTCCAGCTGGGTTAGGCTGTGGGCCTTGGATGGGCAGGAGCCTTCCTCTCTGGCCTGCCCACAGCAGAGTGAGCTCCATGCCGTGGGCACTGACCACCTTCGGGGCCCCGGATTCTTGGGGAACTGCAGAGTAAGAAGACTTACTGTCGCCTGGCAGCCCAGAGGATGTGGGCCAGGGGCTTGCTTCAGCATGACCTTGGCCATCAGGGGCATGTAAGAAACAGCCTTTCAAGGCGCACTCCAGCTTCATGCCTCCCTCTTCCCAGAAAGTATACATGGTAGAGGCAAAGAAAGCTGTTCCACAGGAAACTCTGTCATAGAGAGCTGTGCATACGCTGAAATGTATATGCACTCGCTCTGAATATGCTGAAGAATGAAAAGCAAATACAGTTCTTGGCGTGGCCAACAAACAAGAATGCCGGGGATGGCCACATCCTTGGGGAATGAAAAGAAAGGTCTCCTGAGTCAAAGCTGGAGGGAATGGGATTCCACTCAGGAGGCCAAGCGGCACATTCCTGCTGTGCCCAGGACGAGGCCGGGAAGCAGGTCCCAGGGAGGAGAGCCCTGGCTAGCTGAGGACATGCGGGCAGGACTCGTACACATCTTTTAAAATCCTGCATTTAAGGAAAACTTTGAGCCACGGCCTGCATTTCTCCCAGCAGCCCTTGGAGGCCACGTCCACAAGGGGCTGCCGTGGCCAGTGTAGGCAGGCCTGTGTGCGTCTAAGCCCTGGCCCTCCCCACTCTGCCCCGGAGTTGATCTTCTCCGGAAGGCTCCTGGAAGCACAGCTGAGTGGCATGGGTATCTCAGGCTCCCCGGCTGGCTGCTGCAAGGCCCACTCAGGACCCTGCCCCTGGCCGGTGGTGCACACAGGCTCTCAGCCTGCCTCTGTCCCAGTTAGACCTCAGAGACAGAGACCAGAAATACTTTTTATTAAAACACGGATCGTTATTAAAACACCTTGAGGTACATTAAATAAATACAACCGTTCCAGTTGTACAAACAGGTCTCTGGTGGCTTGAAAACAATTTCCTATAAATTCTGCCTTAGCAGCCTCTGAGAGTCAGCACGGGTGGGGAGAAGCATCCGTGTGTAGCGAGCTTTCTGTGGCCTGGTGTGTTATAAGCATTTAATGTGGATCCTCATCTCCAGCCAAGGATGAGACCTGAAGTTCTTGCCAATGATGCTCCCCCTTCTCCGACCTTGCTTACCATAGAGTTGGGGTCCAGGTTCTCCCCGCTCAGCATCCTCGTGGTCCCCAAGCTGGGGTCAATGGTGGTGTCACAGCAGATGCCAAACCCCCTTTGGGTCTCAGGGCAGGGCAGGGGATGCCCGGGGCCCAGCTGAGCTGGAGAAGGAGCATGTCACCCCCAAAGCAGCTACAGTTGGCTCATTTCAGAGCCCAGACAGGGAGCATGATGAGAGCGGGGGAAGGATGCACACAGTGGGGGGGAAGCAGCCGGCTTTCTCCTTGGCTGTGAGCCAACGTGCAGCCTGGGGCTCGGGCTCTTGCTGCTGGTACCCAGATGCCATGGAACCAGGGTCAAGGGCCCCACAGCTTCTGGGTCAAGTTGCCAGCACATTCCCTAGTCTACCAGTACCTCTCTCTTCTGGGGACCCTCCCAGAGTCCATGAGTGGCTCTGAGAAGCTGGGCTGAGTGGGGCACCCCACCCTGTCCCTGACTGCCTCATTTTGAGGGGGCAGAAGGTTCCAGCCCAGTGGCATCAAGTTGGGTACAGTTTCTGTATCCACACAACAGCTGCCACCAGCGCAAACCCAGAGCTGGGTGAGGGTGGGGTGCAGGTGGGGGCCCGCAGGGAGGCAGTGCTGGGGCAGGAGCCCCACTGGCCACTGGGGCCGGGCCCTGCTGCAGAGAAGGGAAGGATGCCGAGCAGCAGGCTGGGTGGTCCAGTGGCCTCCACCCCGGCTGCAGAGGGAAACAGCCCGGAGGCCAAGTCCGCTGGGTGGCTGGTGGTCTTGGCCTCGCTGGAATTGCAGCCGTGTCTGAGGACTGCAGCTCTAGCCCGCACAAGGGCTCGGCCCAGGGACCATGCTGTGTGAACCCCCAAGCCCTAGTGTGGACCCCCCAAGCAGGTGAAACCCCTGCAGCGCGGCCCCAACACACCTCAGACAGTGGAGATCCAGCGGCCGGGGCGTCAGGCGTGGCTGAAGCTCTGCTCCAGGGCAGCCATTCTGAAAATCCACCAATTAACTTCACCTGTAAAGGGACTTGCCTTGAGGGAGTTCACAAGCCCCTACTTGAGAAAAAGTATAGATTTCCTGTTTTATAGTCTGAATAAAGTGCTCATCTCTAGTACATCTTTCCTGGAAAAGTGCAGGTTGTCATCTGTTTTCAGCTCTCTAAAGCAATCGAAGCCTTTTCAACCCACCACAGCTGGGGGAGGCCTACACCTCAGCCCCCAGGGCGGGGGTAAGGGGCTGCAGGAAGGCTCTGGGCACCTAGGCTGGAACCCCACGCCCTTCCCGGCTTCCAGTCACACAGAAGCTCCCCAGCACGCTGGCCACAGTGGTGTTGGGGAATTGGGGGAGCTCAAGGACAAGCCCCACGGAGCCGAGAGAAGAGCATGAGCCCCCTGCCCTGGCACCCAGGAGTGGAAGGCACCCTCTGGTCCCTGTGCCCCCATGCCAGGCTCACAGGCTCTCAGGCTCACGGGCTCTCTGGCTCACGGGCTCTCAGGCTCACGGGCTCTCTGGCTCACGGGCTATCCGGCTCACGGGCTCTCTGGCTCACGGGCTCTCTGGGAAGAACTCAGGCTCTAGGCTGCTTTGTTCACTGCAGGGCCCACCCAACGCAGCTCAGAGGCTGTTGCTGCTAGTGGCCCTGAACAGGCATTTCCATGACTGCAGAAAGTTCTCGTGGATGGCGCTGTTCCAGGGCCATCGCTGGGAGCAGCTGCCACTGATGCCACCTGAAAACAAGGGGATAGGGGCCAAGAAAGTCCAAGGTCCCCAAGCTGCCCCCAAGCTGGGCATGCCTGCTTCTGCACAAGCAGCATGGCGGGTGTCTCTTCCGTTTTGCGTGGGTTTGTAGGTGGTTTATGATCCTCCTGCGCAGGCGTGTCTGTCTGTCTGCTGCCGCCTGCCCGGGGGAAGGTCAGCTCTGGGTCACAGGGATCTATCTGCTTTATCGGAAGGGGCCACTTCCCAGAGAAACCGGCCTCTCTCCCTCAGAAGTGGACCCACTGAGCTCAATCAGGTGAGCTCAGACACAGGGAGACCCCCAGAGGAGCTGGGAATCGGCGCTTATTGTTATGGATCAAACAACTGAATCAGGTCTGCGCCAGGGACAGGACGGGAGCCTGGAGAAAGGGGGCCTGAGAGGAGGTGGGGGAGGCACCCCACGGAGGGAGGCTGAGCTCGAGGCCCAGAAGACGGTGGGTTCCTCCAACCCTCTGCAACACCGGCCTGTCCCCTGGGGTGGCCAGGCTACGGCAGAGGCCCTCATTGTACATTTGTTTGCACAGTAGCCCTGTGGACAGAAAGTTGGGTGCAGGCTGCCATCTGTGCTAACGCTACCTATTTCCTTTCATAGGAAATAGGCCAGAGCGTGATGAACGTTTAATGATAGAGCCATCGAGCCACATGAGAAAATGTCTCATGACTCGATGTCACCCTCTGTCCCCTGAACACTAAGTTAAATGAGGGATGGGGAACTCCTGCTTTGGATGGCCCTGATTTTGGAGATACTTCGAGTCTTTAGGTGACCTAAGTGTCGCCTGTTGCTGTATTCACGTTTGTGCAACGCTGCTCAGTTCAAGGCGCTGCACGCCAGATAAAACCAGAGTTCACTGCGGACACGAGAGTCATCTTTCCCAGTTACTGGGCTAGGCAGGAAACGCAGTTCACAGGGAGACGACCGCTCGGCTCCCCTCGAGAGAGGGAGTGACAGTTCCCTGCCCACGCCGCCCCCAGATCATCCTGGGTGTCCCCCACATTTGTCCTCAGCCCAGCTGGGCCTGAAGGCCTCTGTCAGGCATGACGGCTTCTGGCAAGACCATCGGTGGCGCCAGGCCCGTTGGTGTCCATGGTCAGACTCGTGGCTCCTTCATACCTGGTCCAGAACGCCAGCGCCGAAGACGGCCTCCTCCTCGGGGCGCTCCTCGTTGGCGACGGCCAAGCGCACGGCACCCACCATGTGCTGTGCCTCGGTGGGGAGGGCACAGTGTGAGTGTTCCAAAAACTTAGCCACCAAAACCCTGGCGTCCGCATAGGCCTTGCTGTCCACTAAAGAGCGCGGCCGCTGTTTGGAGGCTGCCAGGAAAGGCTCCGGTGTTGGCCGTCCGTCAATTTTCCAGGTATCTGGGTCCCCCGCTGGTGAAAGCTGGGCCCGACAGGCAGCCGTGGCAGAGCGAGACATGGAAGCTACAAATCAAGGGAAAACATGCAATGTGAAACTCACTGAAAGCAAAGTAAAAGAAAGGCAGCCGTTGAAGAAGTTAACTCAAAAGCAAAGGACAGTCTGCCCTCGGGAGGAGACTCCTGCTGGGGTGTCCGTGTTCCCGGGGCTGGCGTTCTGGGCACACCCGGCCACCCGCATCGCATCTCTCCTCCCCTTCTCAACCCCAAGCTGAGCTAGTGTCAGCCTCCGGGGGCTGCAGCCTCCAGGAACGAAGGCCTGGGGGGAAGGGCCACCGCAGCAGGCAGGAACCTGTCTTCCGCCCTCTGCTAGAATCCCAAGGACACAGCGGCTGGTCCCTCCCAGTCTTCTCGGCTCCACGACCTTTGCCCCCCTGGGTCTGATCTCTTGCTGGGGCTGAACCGTGGCATCTAGAGATAGGGTCTGCCTTAAGACCAGAGTTGGGGTGGCAGAGGGAACATGAGACCCCCATCATGCCAGGTGCAGGCAGCCACTGCCCAGTGCCCTGCTCCACTGCCTGCCAGGCCAGAGGCTGGGGACCTGGCTCCAGCTCCCCACAGGGCTGACAGCCTCTCTGCATGACCCACAGGCTGGACACTGGGCTGAGGGTCCCTGTGAGAAGGCCAGCTCTGGCAATCAGTGGCGAGGGACGCCAACAAGGTCCAGCAAAGGCCCGGCTTGCCCAGCCTGAGCTTCACGCCACACAAAGTTGGCACATTCTGGGTGGTCTGTTCTGGGGTCTTGTTTGGTGGCGACTGGCAAGCCTAGCAATTAAACACGAGAAATGCAGAAACTCCCAGGTGGGCCCATCGCCCGGATGAAATCTCAAAAAGTGGGCTGAGCAGCCACATGCGTGTTAAATGAGTGCTAGCCCTTGAAATAAGTGCAGGGAGAGAGAAAGGAAGAGAAAGGCCCTCAAAGCCAGCGAGTGGGCAGCCCCGTTCCCGGGGATGAGGTGAGGAGCTGCATTTGGAAACAATGTAGCCAAGGACACACCAACACCCGCCCCACCTCCCAGCAGCTGCAGTCAAAGCGCTTTAGGAAAGAGGCCTCTCACCGCTCCCGGGCCCAGCCTCAGCCAGCCCCGCGTCCAGGTCCTGGCTACACGACGGCTTGTGTGAGGAGGCATCGCCTTACCCAGAAGGAGAATTCAGTGAACACATGAAAGGGAAAAAGGAATTCCTGAGAAAGCGATCATAACTCGCCGTGACTAAGACATGTATTTTATATGGTGAGCAAGCAGGAGAAACCTGCTGGGCTGATGCCCACCCAGCGGTGGATCAGACAGGAACCGCCCTGCAGCTGGCCAGGCCTGCCGTGCGTCAAGTGGTGTCCTGGGTCCTACCCCGACACAGTGCAATGGGCCGGTGGCTCAAAGAAAGCCCAGCACCCTTCAAGGGAACACCCACCTGCACCCGAAGGGCTCCAGGCACCCTGGAAGGCACTGCCTGTGGCGTGCAGATCAGCCTAGCCAAGAGGGGACAGCGGTGTCAGGCAGGTGTGTGGGTGCCGAGGTGTGAATTTCACTGAGGGGGACAGGCCAAACAAAGCCATCAGGGGCCACAGACTGGACCCATGAGCCCTTCCAAGTACAGGGCATCCTCCTTCAAACCTCAGGGAGTGAATGTGAGCGTGGTGGAGAGAGGCTCTGGAGCTCTGAATAAACCAGCAGAGGCGGGTGTTTCAGAAGGTTCGACGGGACTGTCTCCCTGTGAGCCGGCAATGGGATGCAGGAAGGAGAATGCAGAGATGACCACAGCCAGGGAGTCCACACCGGCCAAACCTGGTATTTCCACCAGGAGGGCACCTCCAGGCAACTGGCTACTGCGGGTCCCGGTTCCTTTCAGGGACTCGGTTCGTCCTGGCACAGCCAGGCTCCAGTAGGGGTCAGCTGGGCAAGACCATCGAGGGGAGACTGAGCCAGGACCCGCCGCGCCCTCTTCAGGGTTCCTGCACTTCCCTACCGCAGTGGCATGGAGGTCAAAGGTCCACTAGTCCTTATTGGCAGAAACTGTGCCTCCTCTCAAAAGACGGCAATGAGGACTGGGTGTGAATTCTCCAGCCCGGGGGGTGCCCAAGGCTCTGGGGGAGTTAGTGTGAAATGCAAATTCCTGGGCTGCTGGCCGCAGGGACCCGGTGCCAGGTCCTGGACTCCAGGGCACTGCCCGTGGACACAGTCGCCTGGGGCGATTTTCGAAAGCCCTGGGCTATGTGGAGAGTGCTGCCAAGGTGCCTGGGAAGTGCTCCTGAAAAAGCACCCGTGTCTGCCTGGGGTGGCTCCAGCTGATGACACCCCCATACCCAGAGCTATCGTCGGGGGTCATCTCTCCTGTGCAAGGCTCTAGGCCTTTCCTGGGCCCTGGAGCACATGTGCAGCACTCAGCTAATGTCCTGGCCTGGAGCACATGTGCAGCACTCAGCTAATGTCCTGGCCTGGCCGCCTGGCCCCCTGAATCCTTCCTCCCCTGCTAGAGTGACAGCCCAGTGGGGTGCAGAGGGGCCCTGGCTCAGGGGTCAAGACCACATTCCCAGTGTGGCCCCAGACAGGATTCGCAGGGCCGGGCCTCCACTCTCAGGGATCACTGAGACCTGCAGCGTCCAGGGAAAGCTGTCCACACTCTGGGGACGTGGGAGAGCCTGGTCACCCTACCTGCCATGCCAGATGTGCACGAGGTGGGGTCACTGGTAGAGCGGGATACACGCCCGGGACCTGGCTGCACCTGCGAGCCCATGCCAGGATCCTCTGGAGACACGCAGCCAGGGTGAAGGGCAGATTCAGAGGGTGCTGAGGCACCCACAGGGCCATCGGGGGATGGGCTGGAACCTGGCGTAGCGGTGCCCTCAGACACCAGGAGGCTCGTGCTGTCGGCTGGTACTGCAAGAGAAGGGATATGGCATTAGGGCAGGTGACTGCAGGGGACGCTGGCGTGGGAGAAGGCCTGCCCCTCAAACTGCAGACCTAGATGAACTCTGAGACCCTGGGGGTGTGGAAACACTGAGTAGGATGGACAAATGCTGCTCTGTACTGTTGAAAGTTGGGGGCACCGGATGAGCTCCCAGAAAGCATTCCAGGAACGGCACGGGTCGGGGACTTAGACCCTTCACACTACACAAGAGACTACAAGTCAGAAATCAGATGCTTTGGTCGCCAGACGCTTTGGTCTGGGTGAACAGGGCGGGTGCAGGGGTACACAGCAGCTCCGAGGGACATCAAGCCATCCCCGACGGGTCCCGGTGGGCCTGAGATCTGGCCCACCCATGCAGGGGTGCAGCCCCGGGCCTGCAGTGCAGCCAGACAGGGTGGTGCAGGCAGGTGGGGCAAACTCCGCCCACAGGACACTGGCCTTGGCTCTCAGAGTGTGGATGCCAGGCCAGCAGCAGCAGTAGCCTTGCCCTGGGAGCAAGCCGGGAATGCAGACGCTCAGCTGGACCCCAGACCCATGGAAGCAGAGACCCTGGCACTGGGCCCAGCCACCGGGGTTGGAGTGAGCCCTCCAGGGAATTCTGATGCCCTCCAAACTGTAAGGACTGCTGCTCTGGACCGGGATGCTGGTCAGGGCTGGGCTCCAGCCCGTAACCACTCCACAGGGGCTGGATCGGAGTCTGTTTTAATGCCACCTCCACAGGGTGTGCATGCACGTGACAGCGTGATTAACTGCTCCTGCACTCTCCCCTCCAATCACCAGGTGCCCTCAGAGGCCCCTCCCGGCGCTGGAGTGGAGTTGCCTGCATGGGGGACACTTCAGAGATCACAGAAGCCTGAACTCCTCCAGGCATGGGGGCTTCGGGTCTGCTCCTGGCATCACTGTTTTTCCCTGCGTCTGAGAGCTTGCCCGTGGGTGACAGGCTTTTCACGCCACCTTTCACTATTCATCCTCACTGCCCGTCTGTTACCCCCAGGTAACCCCCACCCCACAGCTGCAGAAATGGGCTTAGACAGGGAAGGGCTGAGGGTCACACAGCCACCAAGATGGTCCTCTACTCAGGAGCCTGGGTGCTGGAGTCTGGGTCAGCTGTAGGGTTCACCGCCCAGGTCGCGGGAGGGAGGAAGATGCAGCCCTGCTGAATTCTGGCCGAGGAGCGCCCTGTCTATTTCCACCTGCCCTGAGATGGGAAACAGGAAAGGGCTCCGGTAGCACAGGCCCCCCTCAGCCCAAACCCCAGAATGCTACAGGTATGGCCGCCCTGTGACAGTGACTGAGATACACTGTACCCGGGGTTGCCCGGGAACGTCACTGAACGCCTTCTCGAACAGCCTCTGATGGCTTGCAGTGACCAAAGGAAGGACAAGCTTGCTTCCAAACCCCACAACTGCAAAGACGCTGTGCTCTACAACCCCAGGTGGCCTCCCAGACAGGCAGCCCCTTCCTGTTTCTCTTAGATGTCAAGTGAGTGTTCAACAGAGGACAGAGTGCCCTGGGACGATCATCCTGGCCCTCTGTGGGATCGCAGGAGTTACCTAACGTTGTTCTCCAAATCAGCCAGCCCACGTGACCCCTCGCAGGGGCCTCAAGGCGGTGGCTCTCCAGCCGGCCCGGCCTCCGTGCCCTCGCTCCCTCTGCTATAAAGGGCCCTTCTGCTTTCCCGGAGCCTTAGACCACCTCCCTGGCCCCGGCTCTGCACGTGACTCCCACCCGCTGTGTTTGGGGATTTGACTGTTGCACACGTGTCCTTCAACGCCCTCAAGGACATGACTTCCAGCCTGCGCCCTCCTGCCAGCCGCCCAGCCCAGCCACCTTCTTCAGAGGGAGGTGCCGTGTGGACATTCGCCCGGTAGGTACAACTTTGGCTCTGGAAGGGGGACCCTAGATGGAATCGTGCTCTTCTTCAAATCCATACCCGTCAAGTGAGGAAGTGGGGCAAAGGGGGACAAGCTCTTCCCGGAGAGTGAGGAGCTCTCCCAGGTATGCTGACTGTAGTGGATGGAGGCATGGGAAGAAATGTGGGGAATATACAGGATATTTAATGGGATTTTAATGGGAAAGGCAAACTCCAGCCCCTTAAAGAGTAAGAAATGGAGGGAGGAGGAGGAGGAAGAGGAGAATAGGACGAGGACACAGACATCCTTGAAAACAGGAACATCCTACTTCAGGAGCTGAAAGATGTAAGATTACCTGGAGTGCTGAAGCCAGCACTGGTGTTTGGGTCCCCGGAGCTGGACTCGGCCACCTGTTGATCTATACTTGTAACCTACAGTAAGAAACGGAAAGCGTCAAGGCAGGTCGTCCGTGGGAACGCCGCACAGCAGCCTCCAGTAGTGCAGGCGCTTCAACTTGTCTCCTGGTGGGAAGCGCTAAGAGACGTTCACCCACAGCTCCACTCCTCTCCTCTACATTTAGGAGGTGGGGTGTGAGGGTTCAAGTCGCCCTTGCCAAAGCCAAAGCCTAGTTTTCTTTTTTCTTTTCTTTGAGGCGGAGTCTTGCTCTGTGGCCCAGGCTAGAGTGCAATGGCACGATCTCGGTTCACTGCAACCTCCACCACCCGGGTTCAAGTGATTCTCCTGCTTCAGCCTCCTGAGTAGCTGGGATTACAGGTGCCCACCACTGTGCCTGGCTAGTTTTTGTATTTTTAGTAGAGATGGGGTTTTGCCATCTTGGCCAGGCTGGTATCAAACTCCTGACCTCAGGTGATCTGCCTGCTTCGGCCTCCCAAAGTGCTAGCATTGCAAGGCGTGAGCCACTGCGCCTGGCTGAAAGCCTCTTTTTCTGAACGTTTGCAATCAGAGCGCCCGACAGGGCCACAGAGGCACCTGAGCCTACGAGTTGCACGGTCATCGAGCTTCTGTGGCTTTCAATTTCTTTTTCTTTATTGCTATATTTTAGAGACAGGCCCTCACTCCATGGCCCAGGCTGGAGTGCAGTGGTGCAATCATAGCTCACTGCAGCCTTGAACTCCTGGGCTTAAGCGATCCTCTGGCCTCAGCCTTCTGAGTAGCTGGGATTATAGGCATGAGCTACCACGCCCTGCTTTTGGATAGACTCTGATTCTGCCTGGAGAGGCCTCGGAATAAGGGGAAGGCTACACCCCCTCTGCTCTCTGCCCCATCTTTGTTCTGCCCATTCTGTGTGGGCCATGATTTCCACCTCGGAGGGCATTAGGGCCTCCTGGATGCGATGTTTGGATGCGATACACACTATACACACGTCACATGGGCACCCCCATGCACCCCATGCTACCTCAGAAAACAATTTGTGAATTCTTGTGTTATTTCAGAATTGCTTTGGGGATACACTTGCAAATACTGAGCTCCAGAGGAGACTGGGAAGGTGAGGGGGCTCCTGCGGCTTGGTCCGATTCCAGCTCAGGTAATTACATCTCTGCCTCCCTCATCTCCCGCCACTTCAATCAGATAGCTGGTCTCCTTCATCTCTCCTCTTCAACCCGGCTGACACCAGGGCGGGGGTTAGAGCTGCAGCCTTCCCACCCACACAAAGGGTGTGAGCTGCCCCCACGGCATGGGGCTTGAGAGGGGGTTCCGAGACAAAGAGAAGATGGAGAGCTGCCCAAGTGAGTCCTTTGATCTCACTAAGATGCTTTTGCGTAATGTGGTCCATGCTATTTTTCTTCCTCAGCCCTCTCATTCTGCTGGCAGGGAACCGGTGAGGGGGAGTTCACCCCACTGTCAGCACCCACCTGCCTTTTCACTGAAGTCATTATGTGCCAATAACCAGTTTTGGAAAGCTCTGTCCAGAACCTTCCACGAATCACAAGAAGCGAACAATGCCCTAACGGTTTGTTTCATCCTGTGTCTCTCCTCCCATATCTAACCCTCTCTCGGACTTGCTTTTCTTTTGGATCATAGATGGGTGGTAACTTAGAACTCCGTTGTCTAAAAGAAAATCTTCTGGTAATAAAGAAATGTAAATAAAACAAAAGAAAGAAAATCTACTGTGGGACAAGGTCAGGAGGAAACTGGATTCCCTTCATGTTGTGCAGAAGCGTCACCCACTTCCCTCTGGCTCCTGGTCAAATTTGGTTTCCAGAGGAGACAGCTCCTGGGAGCGTATCTATCACCTCTCGCAAGCAGAGTGTCAAGAGTTTAATTTAAACGTGGCCCTTCCCTGATGTCAGAAGCCACCTTGCCACGCTAAGCCATGGGGAAAATAGCTTACACCATGGGGAAGGTTCCTTTCATACAGCATTTTCGATGAACTATAACAGCAGTAGAAAAGGGTGGGGAAGAAGTATATTTGTGGCATAGAATTTAAGTTGAAATTTGATTTCAGCGAGGAAGCTCATAAACACAGCTCCTTGTAGGAGAGCGGGGAGAGGGCTGTTGACAGGAGATGCTGCGGGAATCACTTCACCTGGATCTTTCTGGTCTGCAGATGTGCTATTCTGAACAGTCATCGTAATTGAAAAATCAATTGGCATTTCCACAAATAATTCAAATGTTACGAAGCGTGGTGGCTGAGATACTTGCATGGAAATTCTGCCCCATCCTGTGGTTTCTGTCTCACTCCTGGGTGAGGCCAACCATTTAGAACCAGATTTATGAAGAGCTGTTCTTTTGTGGCGATTCCAGCAATCATGGAAAATATGAGTTAAAATTTTAGGCTGGTGGTTCAAGGCAAACTTTGAAGACACTTTGCTAACAGATTTTATGTAGATCATAAGTTTTAGGACCTGGTGCTGGTCCCGGACTCTGCTGGTCCCTCTCCCTTCTCATGACTCCTTGTCTCGTGCTCAGGTTTCCTTCCACCCGGCACGCTGCCACCAAATTAAACTCCTAAAGAACCACTGGTCACACCCAAGACGCCAGACTCCTCAAAGGCACTTCTCCAGTTTGACATCCAAGGTCATAAAATATCTGCCCAAATGATTTCAGCCCTGGGGTGCTGAAGCTCCCACATCCAGGCTCCAGGCCATCCCGCCATAGGCCTCACTGGTGCTCTGACCTTCATCTGTACGACCTCCGCCTCCTTCACACACTCCAGCCCCCACATCACCTCCCCCTTCACACACCCCATATCACCTCCCCTTCACACACCCCACCCCCCAACCCCGCATCACCTCCCCCCTTCACACACCCCCACATCACCTCCCCCTTCACCCACCCCACCCCCCACATCACCTCCCCCTTCACACACCCCACCCCCCAACCCCGCATCACCTCCCCCCTTCACACCCCCCCACATCACCTCCCCCTTCACACACCCCACCCCCACCCCCCGCATCACCTCCCCCCCTTCACACCCCCTATATCACCTCCCCCTTCACACACCCCACCCCCCACATCACCTCCCCCTTCACACACCCCACCCCCACCCCCGCATCACCTCCCCCCCTTCACACCCCCCATATCACCTCCCCCTTCACACACCCCACCCCCCACATCACCTCCCCCTTCACACACCCACCCCCCCACCCCCGCATCACCTCCCCCTTCACACCTCCCCATATCACCTCCCCCTTCACACACCCCACCCCCACCCCCCGCATCACCTCCCCCTTCACACACCCCATCCCCCACATCACCTCCCCCTTCACACACCCCACCCCACCCCCCGCATCACCTCCCCCCTTCACACCCCCCATATCACCTCCCCCTTCTTCACACACCCCACCCCCCACATCACCTCCCCCCCTTCACACCTCCCCATATCACCTCCCCCTTCACACACCCCACCCCCCACCTCCCGCATCACCTCCCCCCCTTCACACCCCCCCACATCACCTCCCCCTTCACACACCCCACCCCCCACCCCTGCATCACCTCCTCCTCCTTCACACCCCCCATCACCTCCCCCTTCTTCACACACCCCATCCCCCACATCACCTCCCCCTTCACATCCCCCATCACCTCCCCCTTCACACACCCCCCCAAATCACCTCCCCCTTCTTCACACACCCCACCCCCACATCACCTCCCCCTTCACACACCCCAGCACCCCGGCAACCCCCCCCACATCACCTCCTCCCAACACGCACCCCAGCCCCCACATCACCTCCCCCCCACAACACGCAACCCAGCCCCCACATCACCTCCCCCCACAACACGCACCCCAGCCCCCACATCACCTCCCCCCCACAACACGCACCCCAGCCCCCACATCACCTGCCCCCCACAACACGCACCCCACCCCCCACATCACCTCCCCCAACACGCACCCCACCCCCATCACCTCCCCCACAACACGCACCCCAGCCCCCACATCACCTCCCCCCCACAACACGCACCCCACCCCCACATCACCTCCCCCAACACGCACCCACCCCCACATCACCTCCCCCCACAACACGCACCCCAGCCTACCCAGATCACCTCCCCCAACAACACGCACCCCAGCCCCCACATCACCTCCCCCCACAACACGCACCCCAGCCTACCCAGATCACCTCCCCGCCACAACACGCACCCCAGCCCCCAGATCACCTCGCCCCCACAACACGCACCCCAGCCTACCCACATCACCAGGTCCAGCTCTTCTGCAGAAGCCTCAAAGAAGCTTGTCTCTGACGGCCTCCAGATGAGAGTGCCGTGACAAGGGGACTCTGTCCTATATCCCCTGGAGGACCACTGCCATCAGTGGTCCCTGAAACATACACTTGCCACCCGGACAAGAAGATCACACTGGCAATTTCTCAATCACTTTCGTGCTATCAAAAGAAACTCACTCCCTGAACACTGGCTGAAGAGTACAGCCTCGAACCACAGGAAAGAGAATGGCATCTAACCTAATCCTACCCTAGTCCAGCCTGTGACCTAAGCCGGAAAGGAAGAGTGCACGGCCCATCACCCAGGCAAGTGCTTATGGAGCCCACCCTTGTGGAGGCTGCCCCCTCTTGTGTTAAACCTCTTCCCCAGCGCACCCCCCGTCCCGCCCCAGAGTGGGCTCTTCCCCCACAGAGCCCGCCTTCTGCAGCCTCCTCTCTTTATCCAAACGAGTGCTGAGGGCACATTTGTCCTAACAAGGAGAAGCAACTGGCCCCGCCTCGCCCGGGATGCAGGCTCGTGCTGTGAAGGGGCGCTCCTTGCTGACTAGCCGGGGGGCCTTGCTGCCTGGGGAGGGGACAGCTGGTGGCGCAGCTGGCGGCATGGCCTTCCCTCTGTGGATGGTAATGGGCTTCTTTGATTTCCAGACTCCCAGACATGGCCGTGAATTGAAAAGTGCTCCCAGGCCACGGGGTCAAAGAGAGTGGGCCCAAGGCCTCTAGCGGCTCCTTCATCACCAGATGCTGCCCTGCTGCCAGGGGGCGCCCAGGGACAGGCCCCGCAGGCGGTCGTGCTGTGCCCCTGCCAGCACGGGGAGCTGGGGGTCTCTGAGCCAACACAAGCTAATTCAAGATCAGCCTCTGACCTTTCAGCTCTTCTCACCGCAGTTCTGAGAAAGAAATCTCAACTGAAAGAATTCCCCAGAGTTTTGGAGAAGGGTGTCGCATTGGTTTCAGAACCAGCCCGATCCCTTCCAATGTATTCTGTTCTTCAGAGAAAACAGTGAAATTGTGACACACCAGGAACCCATTCCTTCCGGGTGCCGCTGTGGGGTCAGGCCCTGAATGGCACACCCAGGTCCGGAAGCTACTTCCAGCAGAAGCTACTGCCCTTGGGAAGCCAGGGCCTGGGCTCCATGGACGGGGGTTCCTGTCGTTGGGAGGCAGAGGGGTCCGAGGGGCAGAAGGGAGAACAGGGAAGCAGGCTCAGAGCCAGACCCAGTGCGGAGCTGGAATTGTGATGGCAGCAGGCAGGGTCACTGAGCAGAGGCGGTGGAGGGGACAGAGCTGGCCCCTCGCCACAAGGCAGCCACAGGGAACCACACACCCCTGCCACCTTCAGGGGTTTCCGGATCCACCCGCCGCCCTGCCCGGTACCCCTGCTGGCTACAGCGTGGAGCTGCCCATTGCACCCTTGGTCAGCCTCCCCTCTGCCTTCCCAGGGGCCTCCGTCACGGAGGGCCCTGTCCTGGGCCTGCCATCCCCACCATCTAGGTCCTTCCACATCTGCCTGGTGACCTCCTCAAAGGTCCCAGATCCACACTCCCCTCTACCTACCATCCCAGCTTCTCTCCTCCTTACCGAACACCCTGCAAGAGTGATCTACTCCGGCTCTCAAAGCGGGAGCAGCAGCGGCGCTGAGGCTTTGACAGGCATCAGATTCTTAGCCCCAACCCCCCACTTCGATACCCCAATTACTGACTCAGGCGCCCTGGGGGTGGGCCCCGCCATTAGGATTTGATTATCAAGTTCTCAGGCGCCCTGGGGGTGGGCCCGGCCATTAGAATTTGATTATCAAGTTCCCCGGGGGGGGACCCACTGGTGTCTGAAAACCACAACCACACCTGCGCTCCCCTGTGCATGTGCCATTCACTCCTTTACCTGATGTGGTCCAGCCCTGCCCTCCATCCCATCAAAGCTGCTCTGCCAAGGTCACCAGCAGCCCCTCCACAGTAAGCCACATGGCCCTGGGGGTTAGCTTCTGGACAGCACTGGGCCCACTGCTTCCTTCTGGAACTGCTGGTTTTGGCAAATCCAGGCTCCTGGGAGCCTGCCTAGGGCCCTGTAACCTGTCGTGTGTGGGGGTGCCATCGCCACCTGCAATGGTGTCATTCTGTGGGGCTCCCTCTCTCCCATTTCCCAGGCTCCAGTGACAGCGGCAGCTAACTCTGATCACTCTGAACTACAGCTCCTGTCGTCTGCTGGACACTCACTCAGAATTCAACCCACCACACCCAGACGGATCACCACCCACGCACACTCATCTGACACTCTTTATGGACGACCTTCTGTTTGGGGGATACGCTGTGCCTGTCCTTCTTCCTTCTGAGCCTTTGCATAGGCTGTTCCCTCTCTCAGGAGCCCTTCCAGCCCCACTCCCTGCACCTCACCTGCCTGATGCCCACCCAGCCTGACCTCCCAGACCCTCCGTGGACCCCCAAATTGGGCCTGATGTCATGGCAGGTACCCCACAGTGCACTGGGCTCCCCTCGCAGTGCTGACGAAACTCTTATCACAGCCAACTGTCTCCACTGATAACACTGATTTGAATTATTTTTATCATAAACAGAAAACTAAACAACATTGGGAAGGCAGAGGTCCCAGCTCAGCTTTATAAAAACATCTAAGAACATCTCCGTTACTGCAAGTTCAGGAATGGGATTTCAGGGCCATGCCCGCCTCCTCACTAAAGGATCCCTCCCCACAGGCAGCCCCACACATCTGCTTCTAGTATCCACAGTAAAAAGGGGGTCCTGGCCAGGGCTCAGGGGTCACTGGCTGCAGCCTGCCTAGCTGCTCTAGGCATTTCAGGGTGGCTGCTCGGGGACTGTCTGCTTGTGTGAGGATGCACTGGGGGCTCACGGCCAGCCGGAAGCTGAGCTGGCCCACCACAAGCCACCCTGAAGGAGGTCCCTGTGGTATATATGAGTCCCAAGGTGCGTGGTGCCTTACAGCGTCTGAATGTGCTGTCCATGTTTCCACAGGGCACGAGGCAGTCGCATCTCCTCCTGTCCTAAGCCCACCCTGCCTGCAATGGTGACCAGTCCTTGCGGGTGTGACCGTCAGCAGGGCTTGTGAGCCTCTTCAGCCAACATGGAAACTGCTGCTCCACCCACAGGGGCTCCTCAGGGCCAGCGCTGCCTTGGTCACTGGTTGGGACAGGGACCAGCATTGCCACCTGGCTTGTGTGCACATGGGCTCTCGGGATCTCAAAGTGACAGTGACATATCACGGATGATATCCTAAAATATGTTTTCCAGTCGCTTGCTTTCTCTCCCTGTATTTCAGGGACACCAGCGAGCTGTCGATTTGGTCTATTTACATAACCCCATATTCCTTGGAGGGTGGGTCCCTGGAGGGTCCCTTGCACTATGGGCCACGTGACTTTTCCAGATGTCCCCATCTCTCTGCCCTGGCTAGCAGCATTCCACACTGAGTCATGACAACAGCGATGAGGAGGAGGAAAACAATACCCCAAAAGGGTGACTGACTTTTGCTGAACTCAGATCTTACTATGTTCCAACTCCTGTTGGCTCCATTACAGACAACATCCCATTTCATCCCATAACCTTGGTACTATTATGATCCCCATTTTACAGATGAGGAAACTGAGGCTCCACGAACACACTGCCTGTCGTGTCAGGCACCATGAGGCTGCGGGAGTGCCTGGCATGCCCAGCTCAGAGAAGGCCGGAAGGACCTGGCGGCTGAGGCACTTCCCTGGCCTGAAACATCTCAGCCTCAGGCCGGACCAGGGATCCAGGGCCGCTTTCTCCCCTCCCCAGAGGGTGGTGATGGCAGTGTGGGATCAAGACAGGCTGGGGCGCCCTGGGTACTTGGTCCATGGACCCAGTTCCACTCCTGGGGGCTCTCCCCTCGGGTCAGGAGCTGTCCCAGGTCCTTCTGCCCGGATCCCAGACCACCCACCAGCACGAAGCTCAGATGCGCCTGGGTTGTGACTCGTGGCTGCAGAAACGGAACTGGGGAGCCAAGGGGAAAACCATCAACCCTGGGTGCCCCAGGCCCAGGCTGGCGTCCCTGCAGGTGCCACTCTCTGAGCCTGTGGCCTCATCTACAGCACAGGACTAATAAGACCAACATCCCACAGGTTTGCTGAAAGGCTTGGAGAGAGATGCATGTGTCCCGGGGCCTCAGCACAGGGTGCTCATGGGTGTTCACTCCACAGCAAGCTCGGACCTGGCGCGGTGTGAGGTGCCTTCCAAGGGCTGGCCGGGACAGTGTCCGTACCATTCCATGGGAACTGGCCTTGTCTGGGGCCCTGGGCCTCACCTGGCTGGGAGGAGGCTGGCCCACCACCGCCTCATAGGGAGGGGGGAGCTCAGCAGGATACAGCAGGCCAGGGCTGTTGATGGCCTCGTCATACAAAGTGCTGAATGGAGACGGAGCAAAGTCCAGGTGGAGGCCCCTGAAAAAGACAGAACCATCACATCGTCATCGCCCGAAGGAGGCAGCAGAAGTGCTGACAGCTCTCAAAGCAGCCAGAGCGGGGGCGGCCAGGGCTTCCCCTCTCCTAATACTTCCCATCATTGTGAAATGAAAGCTTCAGTCACTGGGCGATTTACACTTTTGGTTTTTTTCCTGGAATGACATCAACATTTTCAATCAACTCTACTGACCTGTCCATTAAAATTCAAATCATCATACAGCCAATGACATCTTTCATTAAACTGCACATGTTACACAAATGACTGTAACGTGACCGCAGCTTTGCACGTCATGAGAACGTAAGGCAGCGACACCTGTCTGCCTCCGGTTTCTTTTGGGTTGCATTGCAAAGGTGCCACGGGGAATGTTCTATGTCCAAGGCCCTCTCCTTCCACTGCCCCTCCTCTGTTCTCACCGCCATGCCTGCAGGACCACCGCAACTCCCACCTCCCAGACACTGCTGCCGATCTCGGTGGTTTCGAGATGTCGGCAGCTGGGGAGACCAACCTCTGGGCCTCGGCGGAGGGTGTGCAGGTGTACTCTGGCGGGTAATAGGGTGGAGGCGGGAGTGGGGGGATGAACTCATCGAAATCCAGGGTCTGGTGGAGAACGGTGCCATGAGGAGTCACGCAGGCAGGGTTGGCCGGATGTGACCTCTGCGGAAGGAACTGGAAAACAGAGACAACCAGAGTTATCTGGGACATCTTGTGTGGCTTGTGTCTCATTAAGGTAATTATATGCGAGCTTTAATGATCAGTTTGGAATGCCTATAATTTCAGCTGTCAAGCCACAACTGCTAAGCGCACACTTTAAAACGGAGGCTCCAGGAGGAACGCCTCGCCTCAGTAGTCTCAAAATGCTTTGTTGCCCACGCTGTCATACAGAACGCCTCTTTTTAAAGAAAAAATATGGTCCGGGAAGTCTTTCATGCTGTCCCTGCCGCTCCACCTGCCGCTCTGATGACAGTACTCAGAGACTGCAGTCCAAAGGCTGCCTGACGTTCGTGGTTTAAGATGACACTTCGGCTGGGTGTGGTGGTTCACGCCTGTAATCCCAGCACTTTGTGAGGCTGAGGCGGGTGGATCACCTGTGGTCAGGAGTTCGAGACCAGCTTGGTCAACATGGCAAAACCCCGTCTCTAGTGAAAATACAAAAAAATTAGCAGGGTGTGGTGGCGCATGCCTGTAATCCCAGCTACTTGTGAGGCTGAGGCAGGATAATTGCTTGAACCCGGGAGGTGGAGGTGGCAGTGAGCCGAGATTGTGCCATTGCACTCCAGCCTGGGCAACAGAGTGAGACTCTGTCTCAAAAAACAACAATAAAAAAACACGGCATTTCTGGAAGTGTGTTCATGAGAAAACACTAGACTCTCCCCTTGAGATGGCCCCACCCCACTCCCAGAATTCCTGTGGTGAATCTGTGGGAAATGCCACATGCTCCCTTCTTGGAGTCCTGCATTGTGTATTCACGTATTAAAGTCTCTGAGAAGGGCTGTGCTGAAATACTCCTTTAGCTGTTTAATACTTTAACCCAGCATTTCTCAAATATTTCCTAATGGGCCCCATTGGACACAGAGTATCTATTAATATTTTGCGGTTCTCAGGATTTCACACAGTTTGTAAAGCACTGCTCTGAGGAAAGAGAGACAACTTCATGAGTTCCAGAACATTCTATGGGCCAACCTTGAACACCGAGATGCTGCTTTAACAGCGAGGTGAAATCACTTTAACAAAAATGAAACCCATTTCTGCCTAGTTTTCCACTTCTGAAGGACTAACCAACAGCCAACTGCTTTTCTTTCCACCTTCACGTCTCTGCTGCCCAGAGGCCACCTGTGGCGTGAGATGCCTGGGGTATTGTTCCAGCTCCAGTCAATGCCGCCCTGTGAGGGTCTACACGGCAAAAAGATACATGCTGCAAACGCTCTGGGCCAGGGGCCCTCCTGGCGCTGGGCAGATGAGGTAAGGAGAGGAAGGGTGAGTGTGTGTGTGTGTGTGTGTATGCATGTGTATGTGTGTATGTGCATGTACGTATGTGTCTGTGGATGTGCATTATGTGCATATGTGTGTGTCTGTGTATATATGTATGTGTCTGTATATATGTATGTGTGTATGTTTGTATGTCTATGCATGTATGTGCATGTGTGTGTATGCGCGTGTGCACGTGTTTGCGTATGTATATGTATGTGCATGTATGTGTATGTGCATGTAGATGTGTGTGTATTTGTGTGTATAGGTATATGTGTGTCTCTGTGTGTATGTGTATGTGTGTGTGTATGCGTGTGTGTGTGTGTCTGTTGAGGGGAAGACAGGGACCCAGAATCACGCCACACAAGCAAGGACAGCTCCATTAGAAAACAGTGAGGTCTCCAAGCACTGTGTCGGGACTGCGGTCCCCAAAGCATTCATGAAGAAGGCATTTGAACGGGTCTTGAAAGATTGGTGGGATTTCATCTAGTGGGTGCGCAGGGAGACAGACACTCAGGCTCCAGAACAGTTGAGCCAGGGAAGGATGTGTTTAAGAAAAGCAAATAGATAAGGCTCTGGAAGTCAATTCTTAATTCTGGGGCACTGGGGAGCTGGTAAGGGTGTTGGAGCTGGGGAGCAGGGGGACTGGAGCTGCGTGGTAGGAGGTGCCTTCTGGCAGCAGGGGTAAGGTGGGCTGGAGCTGACAGACGCCAGGACCTGCAGCACTTTTGCACTGGTAGGGGTGAGGTGACCATTCTGAATGGGGTCAAGCTCTGTGAAATAAGCATGCTCTAGGTTGACGGAGAAAGGCTGGTGGCCGTGTCTAAAGGTGTAATACATCACAGGAAAATGGTCCCGTGGACCTCCTAACACACAGAGCACACTCCTCGCCTCTGGCTAGACCGACCCACAGCTGCGTGTGTTTAGCTGTCCGAAGCAGAGGTGAATCATTGGCTGTGAGCAGGGCGCCATGTGCATCTGTCGTCCTCTGCCTTGGAGCCTGTCAGTCCTGATGCCTGCTGCACAGAGCTGAGAGGTAGGGGCGAGGGCAAATGCCCTCAGGTCTATCAGGAAATATTTTCAATTCGTCTCTATCAGAAATTAGAAAAAAAATCAATGACATACTCAAGCAAAACTAATGACATGCAGACACCAAAACACTTTCCAATTCAAGGCACCATTCCACCAGGAAGGAGAACAAGCATTTGAAGAGGGGAAAGAGCTGCAAGTGACCCTCTCCGCAGGTGCAAGTTAGCAGAGGCTGCCACACACACTGGAGGCTATGTGAAGGTCAAAGGACTGCATCTGCACTAAGCTCTGGGTCGCCTTGCCGGGGCGTGTTGGCCCCACCTTCCTGGACTCGTTTCCCAGGGATCCTTTGACCTTGACTCCTCAGCTTCCCCAGCCAGAATCCTGCAAGTGGCGCTTGACATCTCCCCTCTCTTCCCCACCATCTGTGTGTGTTTAATTAGGTCTGGGTGTGTCTCCCGTCCCAGGGTCGCCAGCTCTGTCCTCTGCTCTGCAGGCTGGCGCTGGAGGTCTGCAGACTACGCTTCCCAGGCTACCGTGCCAGGGCTGCGGGTGGGCTCTGCCTGTAGGGGGCGCCAGAGGGCACCTGGCCGGCGGGCGGGGCGACGAGGGAGCTGCGGGTTTCCTGCGCCTTCCCACTTCTTCCCTTCTGTTCCCCGGCTTTGCGGGCTGAGAGCTGCTCTCTGCAGTTATTTCTCTCTCTGTAACCTCTTCTGTTCCTTCAGCCTTCCACGCCCAAGTAACCGGCTCCCAGTAACTGTGTTGAAATCCTAAGGGCAATTTCTTTTCCTGGCCATCTGAGGCACATCTATTTTACCCCGCTCTGTGTTCCCATCTCGCAGTCGCACACGGCGGGTACTCAGTAAACCTCTGCAGAGGAGACCGGCAGACGCCTCCTTGCGGGGCACCTCCACTCAGCCCCTGTCCACGTCCTCCTGGCAGGAGCTTCTAACCTGTGTGCCTCTCTACCTTGATTTTCTGTCTCTGTAATTTGGTCTCCATCCTGCTAGCAGAGCTGTTTTTAAACCAATCTGATGAGGTCACTGCAGTTGAAAAGACTTTAATGAGACCCTGGCTCACGGAACTCCATCTGGTTTCCAGCTTCCCAACCAACCAGCGCCCCCAAACTCCCCGCTCCTTGAACAAACTTGCTCTGATCCCAACTATCAAACACGGATTGTTCCCTCTTCCCAGCTCCCTACCTCCCTTTCACCTGGCGCCTCCCAGTTACCTTCAGGACCCGCGGAAATGCCTGTGACCCTGAAAAGCCAGTGGGCAGCCACTCCTCCCCCACCCGGCCCAAGCTCCAGGCTCTGAAGCCTCAGCTGCATGTTTACTGCCACGTATAAAGCTCAACTCTGCACCCGGAGGTGGAGGGCGGAAAAGGGGCTCTAAACAGTCCCTTCTTTCCCAGGTGGCTCTGCTTGCTCTGATCTGTGACTGCCTTCTCCGATCCATGTGGTGACAAAGGTACACCTGTGTCTGGTGGCCAGCTGGGGCTCACGCACCTGACATGAGCATAACTAGTGCCTAGGGCTGTCCCTGCACAACAGGAGTGTGGATTTGAGATCCTGCTGGACAAGAGCCCCTGCTCAGTCTGCTCCGGGGAGAGGGGATCCGAACCCAGGTGTGTCCTGTCCTTCCGGGTGCATGTGGAAGTGATGGAGGATGAGAACTAAGGCTACCTGGCCTTGGGCAGCTTCCCAAAGCCCACTTAACACAGAGCCCAGAACATTTCAGTCTATCCACGCAGCCCAGTCTGGGATCTGAGGGAGAGGGTGAAGAGGTCAACCTGCCTGGGACGGGGAGTCAGACCTCAAGCCAGTTGTCTCTGGGCCCTGCACTGAGGACCCACAGGATGTGAACACATTTCTGACCCTGTGAGTCTCAGTCCCCTTCCCTGAGAAGCACCACTGCTCAGTCACAGACCCAGACAGCAGCGCTGTGTGGCTTAAAGGCAGGCTTGGATCATCAGTATGAGCTCGTCCAGCCCATGCCTCCATCTCCTGCCATCAGGAACAGGGAGGGGCAGGGCAGGTGTCAGGGGTCTATGGACAAGGGCTGGGGATCTCCAGGAACACTGTGGAGCTCTGAGCTGCCCGCTCCTCCAGGTTCCAGCCCAGTCTGCTCATCTCCCTTTATATTCAGTGGTTTTCTCCCCAGCACTCACTCTCCCTGCTCCCTCTACCAATGTCCTCGCCACATCCTGGCTCCTGAAGGGAGCACACACACCTCTGAGTTTTTCCAGAAAGACTCAGAATTACAGGGAAGGGACCTCTCCCTCTGCCTTCCTTAGACTTGGTAGAAACAACAGGCTTGTTACTACCAAAGTTTGCTGAATCAACTTCCTCCTGGACAGCCCTGCAGATGACCTGGAGCTCCCGCTCTGCGCTCCAGACCCTGGGGAGAGCCTGCCCTGCGGCTCCCTGGTCCTGCCGCCACCCCCAGGTAGGTTCCATGCCCACCCAGGGCTCCAGGTGCCTTACTGCACAGGGCGAGGCCTGTGCTCATTATTACTGCGATTGCATAAGGAAAGAGGGATGCAGACAGGAAGAGCTGCTCGTTCTGTGAAAACCAAGTTGAATGCTTTGGAAAGACTCGATAAAGGAGGGCAGCCAAGCAGAAACCACTGCCAAGTCAAGTCCAGGCAAGGCAGGTCAACGAGCAGAGGA